GTTTATTTAAAATTTCACGTGTGCCTCCTTCAGAATTAGCACAGCCCCTGTGGAAGACAGTTTGGTATTTTCTTACAAAGCTAAACATAGTCTTCACCGTACGATCCTGCCTTCTTGCTTCTAAGTGTTTACCCAGATGAAGTGAAAACATACGTCTGCACAAAAGCCCGCATGCATGTGCTTACAGCAGCCTTAGTTGTAGCAACCAAACCCTGGGTGCTGGTGAGACGTCCTCCTGCAGGTGAGCAAGTAAATAAACTGCGGCGCGTCTGAGTGGTAGAGTATTATTCAACACTAAAGAGAGGAGCGCTCAAGCCCTGAAAAAACCTGGGAGAGCCTCAGTACATACGACTAAGTGAAAGAAGCCAGCCTGAAAACACTGCTCACAGTGTGTGCTCAGCTCTAAGCGTCTGGAAGAGGCAAAACTAGGAAGACCATGAAAAAGATTAGTCACTGTCGTGGTCCGGGGAGCGGGGACAGGGCACAGAGGGGTCTGCGGATGCAGAGACTCTCATGTACAATAATGGCACACGTCATGATACATTTTCAAAAACCCATAGGACCCCAGGCCAAGAGTGAGCCCTGATGTAAACCTGGGCTCAGGGGATGACAAGGTATGGCTGCAGGTTCATCGGCTGTAACGATGGCACCACCACTGTTGTCCAGATCATGGAGGCCAAGGCCGGATGTCCCGGGTTCAAGTCCCACCTTTGCCCCTGACTGGCTGTTCAGCCCAAGGCTGAATTAAGCTACTTAACTTCTCTGTACCTCCTCCTTCATCTTTGAAATGGACTGCGCCTACTGCCGGGGTCTCGCGAGGGCTCCGTGTGCCGACGGAGAGGACACCCTCGCCCTTGGTGAAAGTCCTGATTGTTGCTGCTCTCAGCGCATCTGAAGCTGCACACGCTGCCCCCGATTCCACGAAGCCCCGTCCGCTTCGGGCAGGTTGTGTGGCCCCGGCCCAGGACAGAGGGGTGAGTGATCCTGGAGCAACATCCTTCCAGCTGCTGCTGGCCTGTGGCCTCCTAGGAGACCAGGGCTGCCCGCCGCGCCCCCCCCCAGCCCCTTCCTCCCTGGTCCTGCGCCCAGGCTGGCACAAAGCTGTTTATACCCCGTTTACAAGACAGGCAGCCATTGGCAACATCCTAACGCCCCTGAACACGTGGCTTGAGGGGCTATAGTAACGGTCACGATGATAGACACCCGGGGCCCACCTCTCCCTCCCGTGTGCCACTGAGAGGTCACCGACTCCAGCCTTCCTGCGAGCCTGCCTCTCCCCTCGTGAGTTTCCTGTGATGGGAACCATGTCGGCGGGTCAGCCCCTCTGGGGTCCACAGGGCACCGGGCATCTCCTGGGCTGTGCTGTGCCCCCAGTGCCAGAGACCCTGCGCCCGTCCCCTTTGGGGACAGACCCAAGGCAGCCTCCCGTCCACGCTGCAGTCCCTGAGCCACGGCCTCGGCCCAAAGCTGGCTTCCTGGGCGGGTGGGAGCCGGGGCAACCCACTGGATGGTAGGAGCTGTTAGGACTCAGTCTGGACCAGCCCTGTCCAGGAGGAATAAAATGCAAGCCAGGACTGCCTTCAAGCAGCCATGTGTCTGAAAAAAGAAAGAAGGGAAGTTAGTTCCAATATATCTTATTTAACCCAGTATATCCAAAGTGAACGACTCTGCACGGGGTATTGTGCATTTGGGGGTTTTGCACCCGGAGCGCGTCTCCGTTTGCACTGCTGCTTCTCAGAGGCTTGGGGCTGCACGTGGCTGAGTGGCTGCTCAGGGGGGCAGTGCGGGCCTCCCCAGCTCATGGGGCGGGGAGCCAGCACCTTAATCCTGTGCTTCTACGTGCTCAGATCTTTCGTGGGCTCCTTCTCTAGCAGGTTCGCCTTTGCAGCGAGGTGGAGATGTTTGTTAATAGCAGCTCACTGGGGGCAAAGTCTGCTTCTTGCTAAACGGGGGTGAGCGGCGCTGAGGTCACCACTTCCCTGGCAGCTCAGATCTTAGAGCCGTCTCATCCCATCCAGGGCACAAGCCGGGGTGATGGACTCTCAGGGTCCCCAGGAGGAAATGCTCCCGCTAACCCCTAAGGCTGTCCTGTTACACAGCACCCTGCAGGTGCTGTGGGGTTCAGAGCCACCTCGTGCGTTCTGAGCAGGGCTCCAGGGGCTGACCAAGGCCATCGCCTCGGAGGATGCAGCGGGGCTCTCAGCACCAGTCAGGAGAGCTTAACTCTGTGGCCCTGGACCGCGAGGAGCACATCGATACAAGAGTGAGAACAGACAGCACCAGAAGCTTCAGGTGGCCTTTAGGGTGTGTGGGTCCGTCTGGCCAGAGTCAGGGTTCCGCACCCTTGACTTCTGACAGTTCCCTGAGCTCTGGGGGCACCTTCCAGCCCCCGAGCAGACAGGCCTGGGTGGTGAGATGCTCAGTGTGTGCGGGAGTGGAGTCCGAGGTAAAGCTGGTCCCCGGCCTGGGCCGCACTTCAGCCTCGTGGGTCACACAGCAGCGGGGGGCCTCCGCACAGCCTGTGTTCAGAATAAACAAAAACTGAAATAGATAAACAGCAGTTCTACTATACAGCTCAGAGAGCTATATTCTATATCCTATAATAACCTACAATGGAAAAGAATTTTAAAAAAACATAGATATATATGTGTATATGTGTGTGTATATATATGTGTGTGTATGTGTGTGTGTGTGTGTGTGTGTATATGTGTGTATATATAGTCTTCCCTGGTGGCTCAGGTGGTTAAAAATCCGCCGTTTGATCTCTGGGTCAGGAAGATCCCCTGGAGGAGAGCATGGCAACCCACACCAGTGTTCTTGCCTGGAGAATCTCGTGGACTGAGGAGCCTGGCGGGATACAGTCCATGGAGTCACAAAAAAGCCGGACACAACTGAAGTGACTGAGCACAAATGCGTGCATGTGTATATAACAGAATAACTTTGCCGTATAGCTGAAGCTAACACAATGTTGTAAATCAACTACCCTTCTATTAAAAATTCTTTTTAAAAAAACACTAAAACACTGATTAATGAGCACAGATTGCAGGGCCTTGCTTTAATATAGTTACAAGAACAAATTTTACTCAAGGGCTTTTGAAATACAGTTACAACAGCTGGAATGATGATTTTGAATCTCATTAAACTAATCTTCAGAGGCCTTTGATTCATATTTTATTAATCCCAGTTTGAGTGGCTCCATGTATTTGAAAGCCATAAACTGTAGTTTTAAAACAAATATGTCAATATTCAAAGCACCACTTACTATCTGTTTGGTTTCAGGCAAGTTTCATAAGTGTCGTGCATCTCAGTTCTGTCCCCTAAAATCTGAGCATAGCAGTCGTTTCTGGCTCCCGGGACCACACACGCGGTGTGCACTGTCTCTGACACTGCAGGAGCTGGGCGAGTGGGCCTTCCTTTCCCAGACAGGGTCTGTGGTTCCTCCACTCGCTCAGGTCAGGCCATTGGGAACTGGTAGGACTCCAGCATTTCAGGTCATTAGGAAATAAACTAGGGACACATTTTGGTAGGGTTTTTTGTGCTTTTCATGTTTGTACTTCTAAGTTTTCAAGCAAGAGCAGTCTTCAAGAGACACTAAGGCCTCTCTGCAGGTCCCTCTGGCTCTCCTTGTCTTGCCAAGGAAACGAGCTGTAAAGCTTCCACATTCAAACATGCGCCTCCTGTTCCCACCCACACGGAGGCAGGGATGCATCCTTCTCATGCCCCGGTGAGAAATAGGAACAGGGTAGGTAGACATGAAGGAAGTTAGCTGATGTCCCAGGACATTTGCTTAGATGTAGGGGGAACATGGCCTAGGGCACTGGAGTCTGCTAGGGCATCCTGGAGTCCTCTAGGGCATCTCAGAGTCCGCTAGGACACCCCAGAGTCAGCTAGGGCATCCCAGAGTCCGCTAGGGCATCTCAGAGTCTGCTAGGACACCCCAGAGTCCTCTAGGGCATCTCAGAGTCCGCTAGGACACCCCAGAGTCAGCTAGGGCATCCCAGAGTCCTCTAGGGCATCTCAGAGTCTGCTAGGACACCCCAGAGTCCTCTAGGGCATCTCAGAGTCCGCTAGGACACCCCAGAGCCCAGTTTGTCTGCAGAACAGCAGGTGGTTGTACTGAGCACCTGTCGAAACCTTCCACCCAAGTCCTGGGGCCTGACCACGGTCAGCAACGTGTGTGTTCAGGCCCACAGCCTCCCTGCGAAGCAGTGTCTCTTAGAAATCTGAGTCGTCAGTACTACCCCCTTTCCCGGGGGGGGCAGGGGGCCTAGAGCCGCCTGCACGTCTAAGAGTCTCCGGAGGGTGGAGGGTGAGCGGGGGACAGCGTCTCCGGGCATCGCCAGCTGCAGGCAGTCCTTTCATTTTACTAAAATATTTAAACCAAATCTAAGATGTCACGTGTCATGTTACACGCACAAACACATCTCTGAGGCACGTGGGCCATGCATACACTCACTTCTAACTGAAGGACACTGTAACTAACCCTCAGACTTTGTATCCCAGGGAACAGTGTTAGCAACAATCCCCTCACATCATCCATCCTCAAGGCTGTATTTCTTACTAATTTTTTTTTTTACATTTGGTTTGAATCAAGATTCAGACAAGGTCCAGCTCGTACATTTGATTATATTTTGCGTCTCTTTTCAAAACATTTCGAAACGTCAGTCCTTCAGCAGATCCCTCAGGCCTGTTGTGCAGCGCAAGGAAACTGGAATTTTCCCTTTCTCTTTCCTCCGCCTTCTCCTTGTCACCATCATCTTTATTATTTTCAGCAAAATTCTGTAACACAGTCTGTCTCCAGGTGGGCTCGGAAGAGGAGTCCAGGGGAGTCCGGAGCTCTCGTGGGACAAAAGTTCTCTGCGTGTCTGATCTGAAGGATCCCTTCACACCCAACAACAAGCGTCATCGCCACCTCGTGTGGAGAACAGAGTGTAAACGCCTGCGTGCTTGCCTTCCCTGTTCGGTCACTAAGCGCAGTCGATGTGTTTGCCTTCTCACAGATAATCGCCTATCAGCCGTATGGGAAGTCCGTGGACTGGTGGGCCTATGGCGTCCTGTTGTACGAGATGTTGGCCGGGCAGGTGAGTTTCGCCGCATCTCGTGCTCGTGTGTGGCCGCGTGACATGACGGCTGCTGGTCTGTCGGGCCGAGGTCGTGGGACGCGGCCGATTCCGGTCGGACTTCCTTGATCCTGGCGAGGGCGGGAGCAATGGTGCCAACATCATCTTCTGATCATAAAACCCCAGTTGACTTGGGGTGCAGACAGAGCAGCTTTCTTGTCACCCACTGAAGCCCCCGCACGTTGAGGAAGGCAGCGGCCTGTTGCGTTTCCATGTCTCAGCCCGGGGCCGGGGTGAGGGTCACAGCTTGTTTCTCTCAGAAACCACCCGCTGCTGCGTGTGCGGAGACAGAGTTATTGTTGAAGGAAGATGTTCATTAAACCTGAAGAGGTGATTTAACAGCTTCTCCGTCCGCCCTTATCTCTCCCTTGGCAATTCATTGTAATTTTCACAGAAGTCAGCGAGGCTAAACCTCCAGTTGAGAAAAGGAAGCTTAGGCTCCTCTCGGCCAGGTGACCCAGGTCAGATGACCAAGGGCACCGCTGCCCAAGTCCTTCTTTCTAAGGTGCAGCTTCCTGTCCATGTCACTAGCCGTGACGTGAGCCACCATTGGCAGACGACCCCCAAGTCACAGTGGGTTAGCAGCACCAGGGGCACGTCCGTCTCAGGGTCTCAGGGCAGGCCTGGGGGAGGGGACCTCAGCCCGCGGTCATCCACGGGCCGTGCTGCTCCTGGCTGTGGCTCCACCGTCTTTAGGGCCTCGGGCTCCACTGCTGCGCCCTCCTTACTCAACTGCCCAGTGGAGAGAGGGGACAGAGTGTTGAGGGGCCAGTCTGGAGCCCGCATGCATCTCTCCTGCCTGTGCTGCGCTGGCCGTGGCCCCCGAGAGGCAGAGGGCCGGCCGCAAGCTCAGCGTGGGGCTGCGGGGCTGGGGAGCCCCAGGTGCATCTCTCCTGCCTGTGCTGCGCTGGCCGTGGCCCCCGAGAGGCAGAGGGCCGGCCGCAAGCTCAGCGTGGGGCTGCGGGGCTGGGGAGCCCCAGGTGCATCTCAGCCGTTCTTACCGATGGTTCTTTCCCGGGCAGCTTCCGACGGCCTCACAGCCCTCAAGGGGGCTTCCCTGGCGGCTCAGCTGGTAAAGAATCCGCCTGCAATGCGAGAGACCTGGGATTGATCCCTGGGCTGGGAAGATCCCCTGGAGAAGGGAAAGGCTTCCCACCCAGTATTCTGGCCTGGAGAATCTCATGAACTCTATAGTCCATGGGTCACAAAGAGTCAGACACAACTGAGTTACTTTCTCTTTCCCTTCAGCCCCCAAGTATGCCAAGGAGCTTGCCCTCCATAGCAGCTAAGAGGCTTCGTAGGAGAGAAGGGAAATAAATGCCCCCAAAGAAGTCTCTGAATCTTTGTTCTTAGGAAAGAGTCACCCTGTCTGACATGTCACCTCCATCAACTCACTTATTATCCATTCAGTGCAGATGTATTAAACGTGCCTGGTGAAGGTTCTGAGCAGCACACAGACCCTGACCTTCAGGAAGCCTGCAGTCTAGAGAGACCGTAGATGAGGAGCGTTTGCCACCCGGCGTCGGCAGGGACTGGTTCCCGGACCCCGCAGACAGCCGGGTTCCTGGGAGGCACGAGTCCTGGTGTAGACGGAGCAGTGTCTGCACAGGCCGGCAGGTCCTTCTGTTCACTGTACACCATGTCTGTGATAGTACACCCGACACAGTGTAATTGCTACGTATGTGGTTGTAAATACGGTATCAATGCTCTGTAAGTGTTTGCTGGTATGTGGCAAATTCAAGTTTTCCTTTTTCTGTATTCATTTATTTTTGGCCATCCTGCATGGCTTGTGGGATCTTAGTTTCCCAAAAGGGATCAAACCCGGGTGCTGGCAGTGAAAGCACCACATCCTAACCACTGGATCACCAGAGAATCCCCAGTTTTGCTTTTTAAAATGTTTTGAACTTTTGTTTCACTTTCTATCTGTGGTTGGTTGACCGTAATAGCAATAAAGTCAGAAGAGGGGAGGAACATACAGGCTTGGAGGAGGGAAGGTTGAAATGTCAGCTAGGGTGGCCAGGGAGGACCTAACGGAGAAGATGAAGTTAGGACTGCAAGGAAGGGAGAGGATGTCCACGTGCAGATGTCCACGAGTATTCCAGGCTGAGAGACAGCCAGCACAGGCCCTGGGGCGCGAGTGTGCGGTGGCGCTGGAGAGACGGCAGGAAGCCGGGTTGTGGCTGGAGTGGAGTGAGCAGGGCGCCTGGCCCCAGGCCTGGGGTCAGCACGAGACCGCTGGTTTCCCGCCGGGCTGGGAGGCCCTACCCCAGCCCGTGGCCTCTACTGCTGTGATTGCGCCATACATCTCAGAGACACTACCACAGCCTCTTAAGTATTAAGAGATAAGAGGTTCCACCTATATTGGGTCATTTTTTCTCAGTGATGTTAAGACTTGGTATTAAGAAAGGGGCTTGTGTATTATTCATTTAGGTTTTCTCCCTCAAGAAAACATTCTTTTAAGATTAAATACCTCAGTTTGTAAACACAGAAAAGCCAATTCCACAGCAGCGTTGTCAGTGAGACGGCAGCTGGCAAAGCTCGAGTTTGCCTCCATCCAGCTAGTTTCCCCTTTCGAACTCTGACAGTAAAACGTGGCTGAATTGTAAGCCCCGTAGGAGGCGTCTGTTCGCAAAGGCACAAAAAGCTGAGTCCCACTCCTTGATCCACATGAACGACCCGACTCTGGAGTCCAGACAGCAAGGCCGCTTCCACTGATTCACACTGTGTGTGATGGCCGCGCGGCTCGGGGTGGAACGTCTGGACCCGTTTCCAAGGGCGTGCGTTACAGGAGAGATGGGCTGGTCATCGCTGGCCGGGGGCAGACGGTCCCTGCTCAGACCTAAGGCCAGGTCACCCCGCCGCCCGCTCCGCCGCCCTGTCCCCCCTCTATCCCCAGGTCTCCTGGGTCGTCCTCCCCGGAGAGCTCCTCCTGGGCCAGCCCCCGAGGCCTCAGACTTGAAGATTCCCACAACTAGTGGCTCCAAAACACTCAGACTCACGTCCATGGAGTCAGTGATGCCGTCCAACCTTTTCATCCTCTGTCCCCTCCTTCTCCTGCCCTCAGTCCTTCCCAGGCCTTACAGATAGCTGAGAAAAGAGAACTGAAAGACAAAGGAGAGAGGGAGAGATATACCCAACTGAATGCAGAGTTCCAAAGAATACCAAGAAGAGATAAGGAAGCCGATGTAAGTGAATGACGCAAAGAAATAGAGGAAAACAATAGAATGGGAAAGACTAGAGATCTTTTCAAGAAAATCAGAGATACCCAGGGAACATTTCATGCAAAAATGGGCACAATAAACGACAGAAACACAAGCAGGAGGACCTAACAGAAGCAGAAGAGATTAAGAACAGGTTAATGGATTAATTATAATTTATTTGCAAATTGTTAGAAGCATTACTCAAAAGCATTTTCCCTAAAAATTTTTGGGGTTGCCCCGGGCAAGATAATTAAAAGGACAGAGGAAAAAAATGGAAAACACACTCAACCACCAACCTAATTAAAGGTAATCAGCCCACAAGGTCTGCAGCCCGCGTGTGCAAGGAGCCGCTGTTCCCTGGTGCTGAGTGGGATCTCCGGGCCCCAAGGGGTGCGCCTCTCAGCCTAAGTTACCCCCTCCCCCTTTTCCACACCAGCCCCCGTTCGATGGCGAGGATGAAGACGAGCTGTTCCAGTCCATCATGGAGCACAACGTCTCATACCCCAAGTCCTTGTCCAAGGAGGCCGTGTCCATCTGCAAAGGGGTGAGTCACAGGCCAGAGATGCCTCCTGGCACGTCTCAGAGGCATCCTGGGGGGGCCATGTGCCCACGCCCCCAGGTTTCAGGTGAACCCGGCGCCTTTCTTGTGACGGACAGCATTTGCTTTTGCAAACCACGAGTCTTGGGTTCAGAGCATTTTGGTCCAGGCAGCAAGCAGGCGTGTGATGCCCATGACACGGCACGCTGTGTGATGCTAGCCTGCGACACTTTGAGCACACACCATGTGTAGTGACTGTGTGCCTTTCAGAAGCTGCAGTTATTTGGCTGTGCCGGGTCTCAGTTGTGGCAGCCGGGCTCCTCGATCTTTGCTGCAGTTTGTGGGATCTAGTTCCCTGACCAGGGGTCAAGCCCATGCCCCCCTCATTGGGAGCACGGAGTCTTAGCCACTGGACCACCAGGGGAGTCCTTGCCTGCCTCTTTAATGTACATGCAGAGTGGCAGCTCTTAAAACAGTATATACAGACGCTGTTCAAAGTCTTGTTTGGCCGTGGGTCCAGATTGCCTCCCTGTTTCCTGGTCATGAAAATCACTCTAGAAAGGCCCACACATGTCCACATTATGTGTGTGAGTTGGCACCACTCAGCCTCCTGAGACAATGCCCGGGGTCCCTGCCATGGGGGCCAGGGGCAGAGCCACAGGAGGGCAGGCGCTGGCGTCAGGCCGTCCTTCCCACCCACCCCCAGCGTTTTTCTGGTGGATTTGTTTCTCTCTTTTTTCAGTTGTATTGATTGTAACTGACAAACAAAACAGCAGGTGTTTAAGGCCTGAGTCTGATGGTCTGACCTATACAAACAGTGTGAAGGGCTCCCACAGCTGACTTCGCTCATCCGTCACCTCACATCACTTTCTTTATTTTGTTGGTTGTCAGCAGGTTTCGGTACACAGTCCAGGGCTGCCCATGGCAGCCCCCGCGTTGCCCTGTCCCACGTGAGCGCCTCTTTCTCCCCCATCCCTAGCTGATGACCAAGCACCCGGGGAAGCGGCTGGGCTGTGGGCCCGAGGGCGAGCGGGACGTTCGGGAGCATGCCTTCTTCCGGAGGATCGACTGGGAGAAGCTGGAGAACCGTGAGATCCAGCCGCCCTTCAAGCCCAAAGTGGTGAGTCAGTACATGCCCTTCCTCCTGGGGCCGGCGACCCCCAGCTTCTGCAGTTCCCAGCGGGCTTCAGTCCTGTGGTCCGAGCAGCGCTGGGGGTGCCCGGGGCCCCCACGCCCTCCATGGGCAGCAGAGCTCCCCCCACACGACGTGAGAACCAGGGCGGGGCAGCCTGGGGACTGGACGTCCTTCCCCCCTCCCCCGCTCCGGAGCTGCCCCTCACTCGGGCCTCGGCAGGACCCCCAGGCTGTCTGCAGCGCTCCGGACTCGGCCTCAGCCGACAGGAGCCCCAAAGCGTGAGGAGGCCTCAGCCGGCCCACTGGCGGGCCTGGGCATGGTCCGCACACTGGCCAGGCCCCCGCCCCAAGGACTGCGTCCGCCCCATCTCCAGCACGGTCCCTTCGCTTACATTCTTACTCTATGACCTCCCCTCGGCCCTGTTCACTGTTCGTTTACAAATTCGTCTGTGTAACCCTCACAACAACCCAGCGAGATGGCAACTGTTGTCCCCAGTTTACAGTTGAGAACACTAAGGCACAGAGAGGCTGAGTCACTTGCTCAAGGACACACAGCCGGTAGGTGGTGGAACCAGGACGCAGCTACGGTGTTCTGGCCCAGGGACCTTTCCTCGTTGCACATGGTTGCATCTTCACACCCCATCTCAGTCAGATGGGGGGCTCCCAGAGCGCCGGGGAGCAGCCCAGCTCACAGGCAGCATCAGGAGGTCCGAATCTGTCTCCTCTGACAGGGGCCGCCCGAGCCTGCTCGGGGACCCTCCCGGGGTGCCGAGGTGCCCCCTAGGGGGCTTGTGGCTTTCTTCTCAGAGCAGCAGCTTTCTCATCCAGTCTGCTGTTGTGTCCTCTCCTCCAAGAATGAAACTGCTGCTGGTGAGCCCACAGATTTTATTTTTCCAAGATATTTTTAGCACCAACTAAAGAAAAGCTGAAATTAATCGGGTCAGTTGACTTCCTCCTGAGTCATCATTTCTAGTAGGGCCCTCGTGTCTCTGCCACCCAGCTTCTCTGTAGCCGGTCCCAGCTCTGAGTCAGGAAGCTCCCATGGGAGCAGATCCTGCCTCCAGGTTGCAGAACCTGGTGTAGGAGGGCATTGGATGAAGACAGTGATTAAGGGTGCTACAGGCAGGCTCAATGGAGTATTCTGTCAGGGATTCTCTCTCTCCCCTTTCCCGTCTATTTAGGCTTCTTTGGGGGGGGAGGGGGCTTCTTAAGTTAAATAATAAGAGGTATACAACAGTACACAACCTAAACAGCATATTAAAAAGCAGAGACATTACTTTGCCAACAAAGGTCCATCTAGTCAAGGCTATGGTTTTTCCAGTGGTCATGTATGGATGTGAGAGTTGGACTGTGAAGAAATCTGAGCACCAAAGAATTGATGCTTTTGGACTGTGGTGTTGGAGAAGACTCTTGAGAGTCCCTTGGACTGCAAGGAGATCTAACCAGCCCATCCTAAAGGAGATCAATCCTGAATAGTCATTGGAAGGACTGATGCTGAAGCTGAAACTCCAATACTTTGGCCACCTGATATGAAGAACTGACTCATTGTAAAAGACCCTGATGCTGGGAATGATTGAAGGCGGGAGGAGAAGGGGACAACAGAGGATGAGATGGTTGGATGGCATCACTGACTCGATGGACATGAGTTTGAGTAAACTCCGGGAGATGGTGAAGGACAGGGGAGCCTGGCGTGCTGCAGTCCATGGGGTCACAAAGAGTTGGACACGACTGAGCGCCTGAACTGAACTGATATAGAGTATCCTGTGCTGTGTCCTAAGTCACTTCAGTCCTGTCTGACTCTTTGCGACCCCATGGACTGTAGCCCACCAGGTTCCTCTGTCCATGGGATTCTCCAGGCAAGAATGTTGGAGTGGGTTGCCATGCTCTTCTCCAGGGGATCTTCCCGAGGGATGGAACCCGCCTCACTTCCCAAGGAAGTGAGGGATGGAACCCGCCTCACTTAGGTCTCCTGCACTGGTGGGCAGGTTCTTTACCACTAGCGCCCCCTGGGACGCCCACAGCAGCATCCTACTCACAGCTTAGTTTCTGCGCAGCAACAACATACGGAAATGGGATGACCCTGCTTTGCGTGTTGAGCAAAGTGCAATTACTTGTCAGTAACGTTCCAGAAAGAGAGGACATGCAGCCAAGTCAGCCAGAATATCCATCTTCTTCTCTCTGATCTCGTCTTCAGAAGAAATCATTTCCTGGCACAGCCTCCCACTCATGGCTGCGGTGGCCCCGAACTCAGACGTGGGGGAAACATGGGGTCCTTGCTCTGGCGGCTGAGAAGGCAGGTCGCGCCCCAGGACCACAGAACTCCCTGGACAGGGAGTCAGGCAGCTGAGCCGTGATCAGGGTGTGTTTCCTTCTTTATTCCTGGAGCCTTGCCTCTGCCCGGCTGACGTTTAACCGAGCATGTAGTACGTATTAGTACTACAGTACTATTAAGTACTAATAAGGGGGGTGGGTCAGCTGCCCCGACTGTGAAGAAACAGCCCCAAGCTCAAGACAGAAGCAGCAACCATGGGGCAGAGCCCCAAACCTGGAGGGGCGGGGCCTGGGGCGGGGCGGGGCGGGGGAGGGAGGGGCGGGGCCTGGGGCAGGGGAGGGGCGGGGCGGGGCACGAGGGCGGGGCCTGGGGCAGGGGCGGGGCGGGGCCTGCTGGTGGGAACGCCTGGTGCGGGCCCCGGCACCTGTGGACACAGAGGAGGACGAGGCCTGAGAAGACAGAAGAGCGGGAGGCAGACGCACGTGCGGGCTGGAGCAGGACAGCGGACTTTCTGTCCCAAAGCCGAAGAGCGGCAGCGGGGAGGGTCCCGGGCAGTCATCCCGACAGCAGGCGCCCACGGGCAGCAGCGCGAGGCCTGGCATCAGGGGACGGGCCCTCCCGCACTGGGAACAGCCCCAGGAGCGCCGATCCCACCCGCAGGAAGCTCCGCGGGTCCCGGTGCTGTCGAGGCTGCCGGACAATGCGCCCGCAGAGGGGTCACGGTGGCCCCGACGTTACCCTGAGACATGGTTCTCCACCTTCTTGGTGGAAAATGTGGTTCCCTAGTCCAGAGCCAACAACAGGGTCAAGAGGCATTTATAGATAAAACGCAGAGCTGAGCATTCTCTGGTGGGCGGTGTTGTGATTTCAGAGAGAGCCGCAGGAGCACCACCCTGGCTTTCGCTGCTAAGAAAATGTCAGGCAAATTTATTTTTGCCAGCAGCTCTTCCTTGCCCTGTGCAGTGAGCCCAACTCTGCGAACAGCTCTGCTCGGAGCAGCATTTAAAGCCCCGGCTGCCTTGCATGTCAGTCTTGGTGAAGTCTGCTCAATGCCTTTATAGCAAGCACTGGAGAACCGACTTCCCTGAGATTTACCGGATTAAGGGCTATTAACACCTGGCTCCCGTGAAATCATGGTCTTGGTTGTTGTAAATACCAGCAGAAAGACTTCAGGTGCCCGCAATTATCTGCATGGTGCAGCTGGAGATCAAGTTTGTGCATGTAAGCTTAGGAGGCTCATCTTGGTTTTATTTTTTAACGTTTTTTTTTGGACCCTCTGGTGAAAGCGTTTTCCAGGATCACTGACGTCCCTCGAAGAGTTGAGATGTTCTATCTCTGGGCCGCCACGGAGCTCATCTGGAGGGATCGGGGTCTCCAGGTGTCCTGGCCCTGCGCGTCTTCCTTCCTCCCAAAGCTACATCCCTGAAGCTGCACCAACGCGCCTGGAAGATGTGGAATCCCACTGCCCCATGCACATCGCAATGGCCCTGGGCTCCCAGGAGGCTCCAACAGAACTTGCCTTCTCGGCAGCATTAAGGGCAGGCCCTGCAGTACAGCACGCCCTGAGTTCTGTCTCAGGTCTCACGTGAAGGAGGGCAGGGAGGAGAGTGACCACAGCCATTTCCCCGGGGTGGGGCAAGTTTGGAGGCTCAGGGGTGCACCTGCTCCCGAAGCCCCCAAGGTGAGAGACCCCGTGTGACGGTGGAGAGGAGAGGCTCTTTCCAGGAGAAGGGCTGTCCCTCATGTACTGGTTTATCTGGAAAAACCAAAGCAGAAGCAAAACCAGACGCTCTGCCGCCATGCTGTCTTCTGGAGTAAAGGCAGCCACGTAGCTTCCTTTATGGAAAAAAAGTACAAACCAAGCTAGTTTCACTTTTCTCTTCAAGGAAACACAACGAAGCAAGGACCTCAGCTTTGCCTGATGATCTGAAAGACAAAGCTGAGTCATCAAAAGAGGCTGTGTCCCAAAGACCCCATTTAAAAAGGTCCCTTTTTTGAGTTTAAAGAAGACGCTGCCCCTGAAAGGATTCGTGTCCGGTTACTAATGAGAAATGAGAGGGTCTGGGCTGCATCCCTGTGACATCCATAAACAAGGCGGTATCAGGAGAGGACAGCGCAGCGCCTGCCTGGCCAGCACCCAGAGAACTCCCTGGAGGAGGAAAGCACTGTCTGTCCGTTTTTCCTGAAAACATGAAGAAAGGAGTCTTCGTCCCTGCAGCTGCCCTCAGAAGCACATGTGAGCCTGAGCCTCTGATCCACTGTCGCTTTGCATTTTGTAGGCTTTTATCTTGATTTATTATTCACTGTTGGATGGCTTCACCGACTCAATGGACCTGAGTTTGAGCAAGCTCCAGGAGATGGTGAAGGACATGGAAGCCTGGCAAGCCCCATGTCCATGGGGTCACAAAGAATCAAGACAAGACTGAGTGACTTAACAACAGTTATTCATGTGACTAAAAAGCCCGAGAACAGCATTCACATCTCTCTTCAGCTTGCGCACGAGAAATAACAGTTGATGTGAATATCCTAATTGGAGAGTTAATTGGTGCTTCTCTTCTTGAATTCTATCCGCCAGCACCGAGGAGCAGAATAGCTAGTTCATGGGTCGGCCAAAAGCATCCACTGCACTGAAATGGTGATTAGAAATTAATTTACAAAGTGAACGCTGAGAAATACGCCCAGGATTGACAGAGGGCAGAGAACTTTAGAAACAGGGCTGTCTGTATCAGGTGGCCTTTCTTGAGAAACTACTATTATTATTTTATCTAAAGGAAAACAGAAAAGAACTTTCATCTGGACTGATAAGACGTACAGTCATATTCACCTCAAAGTCCTTTATCTCACAGGGTCCTCAGTTTGTTTAGGCAGTCTGATGATGGCTTTAGTATCCAAGTTAGTGCAGTGTTCTTGTAATATTTTTTACTTATTTTGAAATAATCATAACTTCAGACTTGCAGAAGAGCTGCAGAGATTGGTGAATCCCCTTTCCCCGGACTCCCTAAGTGCTAACCTCCCACCACTCCCCCGTGTCTTTCTTCCTCTGCGTCTCTGTGACGGCAGGGAGCTGAGAACACACATACACGTATTTTCTTTTCTGAGTCACTTGAGAGAATGCCACAGGCTCACACCTACATTACTCCACGTGTATTTCCCAGAACGAAGGGCTTCTCAGACTTCACTGGTGGCACAGATGGTAAGAATCCGCCTGCAATGCAGGAGACCCAGGTTTGATCCCTGGGTCGGGAAGATCTCCTGGAGAAGGGAATGGCAACCCACTCCAGTATTCTTGCCTGGAGAATCCCATGGACAGAGGAGCCTGGGGGGTTATAGTTCAGCAAAGAGTCGGACATGACTGAGTGACAACACTTTCACTTTCAAGGGCATCTCATGGTGCTGTAGTCTTTGGCTCTAAGAAGGCGCTTACACAGAGCAGCAGCCGCCCTCCAGGTAGAAACAGGAGGACTGGAGAGGCTGAATCAGGGCTCGGAGCCCAGGGAGCCTTGGGCGGCATCCCATCAGCCCTCCCGGTGGCAGGTAGTTCCTTCTCGTGGCCTTTCCATGGGACCAGCTGCAATGATGCTAATTAAAATCAAGATGCTCAAGGCTCTGGGAGCGTCGCCAGCAGCAGAGGGACACTAACCTTGAGGGACTGGAGTCTGCTATAGGTGATTTGCTGATGTTGATTTAAGCCTGGAACGCGGCCAAGATGGCATCTTCTTGGTTAATTGGAGGCAGGGAGTCTTCCTGTTCTTTGGTAATTATGCTTCCAAGTGCTATTCTACTCAAAAGAGAAATGTGAAGAAATGAGACCTTTAAAATAATTATTGATATGAATAAGCAGCTCTCTTGCAAGGCCCAGGGAGCTGTGGGGCAGGGCGGGAAAGTGCAGACCCCACAGTCACCGGCTGCGGGAGTGACCCGTCCCGTGGTCTGGAGGAAGGTCCCCCACGATGCTGCTCTGGACAACAGCCCTCCTTGGAGAAGCAACCTCGAGCGCCGTAAAGCTGGCTATTAGTGTAAAGAAAGACCAGGAGGCATGTGTGTTTTTATGCCAGAGAGTACAGGCCGCGATAAGCTGGAGCCTCTGCCCCCAGACGCACAGGCCCTGACCCGGCAGGAGCCCGCCCCTTCATGTGTCTGTTTACAGGCAGGGTGTTCACGTGTCAGTCGCTCAGTCATGTCCAACTCTTTGCAGCCCGCCAGGCTCCTCTGTCAATGGGGTTCTCCAGGCAAGAATCCTGGGGTGGGTTGCCATTTCCTTCTCCAGGGGATCTTCCTGACCCAGGGACTGAACCCGCATCTGCTGCATTGCCGGCAGATTCTTTACCATCTGAGCCACCAGGGAAGCCCCATTCATGGGCAAAGTCACCCATAAATCAGCCACCTCCTAACCAGGAGTGGCCTTCCCTAAGAGGCTCTGCGGGCAGGTGAGAGGAGTTACGTTTAATTTTGCAGAGACTCAGGGCCCGTCTTCAGGGAACGCTGGCAAGAGGTGAAAGAGGCCCCAGTCCAATCTTTGGAATTATCATTAAAATACAAACTCTGTGTGGGGAAAGAGGCAGTCAAGCTGCAGGGAAGAATGTAAGGTGAACGGTCGAGACCACCCTCCGCACAGACCATGCCTACTGCTCACTCGCTTCTGTAAGCTTCCAGAATGCTGTGTGCGTGTGTCAACCTTCACACGGAGGAGGTGTGAAGGAGGTCCGCCTCAGGGGTGCCCCACGTGGCTCGCGTGACCCTGTGGCTCCTCTGCACGGGCACTGACTGTCTTCCAAACCCTCCTCTGTCCGTTCTCCTCCTCCAGACTTTCTGCACCAAAATGCACTGGCTTCAGTGGGCGTCCAGGCCTTCGGTGAGCACCTCTTGGAACCTTGGGTGATGCGATGAACTAACCGCACTGCCTAATCCTGGCGTGTGCGCCCGCTTGCCTGGGCGGTGCACGGAGACCCCGCCCTCCGCATGCTGGTCTGAGGAAGCGCAGATGCCCGGGCGTCCCAGCCCCTCACCAAAGAACCGACAGTTCTCTGGTGTGGACAGGACCACCCGGGAGGTGCCCACTCGTTCCTTCCGCCAGTTCCTTAACTAAATGGAGAGTCAGGGAGCTGAGCTGCACTGCGGGCGGTGTGCCCCCCGCCCCCTCTGCTGGGACCACCATGCAGGTCGGCTCCCCAGACCGGGGCGTGGAGTGCGGGCACGGCTCCCCCGAGACGATGCCGCTGCGTCTGGTCCTCAGCAGACGGTCCCCGCCCACAGGGAGTGTCCGCCCCTCACTGCACTGTCCACCCTCCCTCTGTGCCGAGTTTGGTTTGGCGTTCTGCTGTGTAACCCAGCGTTTTGGAGCTACTCACACTCACCCTAATTCCCATGCCAGTGCCCGTGGGTCTAATCTCTCTGTCACCAGGACACTCAGGTGTGAAGGGCAGGCTTCAGACCAGCGTGTGTGCTGTGCGTTGTCGCTCGCCCCGGCAGGTTGGGGCCCCAGCTGAGTGTCCGAGGAGCAGTCGCCATCTCTTCCCCGCGGCCCTGTGCACAGAAGCAGAGGCTGTGAGCTCCGTGGGGCTCCAGGAGGGAGCACGAATCCCAGGCCCCTGCAACCCCCTCCTGACATTGTCTCACTCGTGCCAGCCTGACCTGCCTGATTCATTTCACTCATCGATGATTTTACCAAATGGAAAGGAGCATCCAGAGTACCAGGCAATCATCAAGCCAGAGCTAGGCGGGAGGCAGATTATTAATAGTTCATTCATCCCTCATGAGTTAGCCACGTGCCTGGTCCCCGCCGGTTGCCCGCTACGCATGTGGCATCTTGGGTCTGTGTCAGACCTGATCGCCGACTCAGGGTCCCCCAGCTGCTCCTCTGACCTCACGGCAGCCGTGGGAGGTGGGTGTTCACTCCCCATCTTCTCTTGGGGGGGGGAGCATGTGCGCTGCCCGAAGCCAACACTGGGCACTTCACCCCTGAACCCCCACCTTCCCAGGGTGTCAGATGCACTGCTGTGGACACAGAGCCTGTCAGGGCTCGGGACTGCCCAGGGGGCTGTCCAGCACACACGCCAGGCTGGGGCCACCTCCTGACCGCTACACCCACACTGCGTCTTTGTCCAGACCAGTCGTGGGGGCCCCAGAGTGTCCGGAGATTGGTTGCTGTTGGTTGGTTTTCCTGATGAATCAAGTGTGGCCCCTGATTGAGTCTCGGGAAGAAAATTCCCGTCCTTTCTTCCTTGAAGAGCCTGGATTCTGCATGGTCTGGCGTGGGCCCTGCATGTGTCACTCCAAAGGCGCTCTGTGCTCCCTGGGAACATGGAGCTTGGGGTGGCCCCACGTCCCAGCTGTGCCCTCTGAGAGGCAGAGGAGCTCCGCGGACTCACGACCTGTTCGTGCCACCCTGCGGTCCCCGCTGGGGGAGGAGGAGATGGTCACTCGCGTCACCAGGGCGCCCCCAGCACTCTGCCTCAGAGCCACCCTGAGACCCGGGACCCCCGCCTGCCGCCCCTCTGGTGGCTGGAGTGTGAGCGGGACACCCCTGCCTCTTATTTGGGGGTCAGGCTCCCCAGCGGTGCTGCCTACGCTGCTGTGTTTCTCAGACCCTCTCCCCCAGGAGGGCAGCTCTGCCCGCAGCCCCGGCGCATGAAGTGCCCGGTGGGCCCGGGAGGGGAGGGGTGGGTGTCCCGGACAGGCAGTCACTCTGCCTCCTCTGGGGACACCAGTACACACGCCCTCCGGCCAGAACAACAGGCAGTGAGCTCCATGGCCGCCTGTCTGCTGGTTGGCAGAAGTGCCCCCATCCCCTGAGCCCGGGGAAGGAACAGGCCAGTCTTGCCTCCATGCTGACCCCATCCTGGCTGAAGATGAATTTAGGGGCTGAGGTTTTCAGAACCTCCCAGCTGGAAGACAAGAGTAACACAGCTTCCGCTTTGTTACAGATACGGCTGCAGAGACCCAAACGTGGGGTGGGCCCCCAGCCTCTCAAGTCAGGGGCGACTGTGCGCATTCCCCCACGTCCCGGCCTGCCAGCTGGCAGAGTGACCCGCGGCCCTGAGCATGTGGTGTCTGTCCTCGCGGCTCCGAAGGGCTGCGGGGAGTGTGGGCGGAACACAGGAGACCGGGTCTTTCACCGCGGCGGGCCGTCTCCCAGGCAACGCCGTCCCCCTTCCTGGCATCCGGTTCCGGGCTGTTGGGCTGCTCACCCGCGAGTGACCCCGTGAGCGATCGCTGTGCCGGGCTCAAGCTCCCCAGGCGCTCGGCAAACCCTCCGGGGCTCCTCCCGCCTGACCGGCCTGAGGCCCCGGCCCGCCCCGCAGAGAGCTGCCCCCGGGTCGGTGGCGGAACCCCTACCGACCTCTCCTTTCTCTTCTCTCCACAGTGCGGCAAAGGAGCAGAGAACTTTGACAAGTTCTTCACGCGAGGGCAGCCTGTCTTGACGCCGCCCGACCAGCTGGTCATCGCTAACATTGACCAGTCTGATTTTGAAGGCTTCTCATACGTCAACCCCCAGTTCGTGCACCCCATCTTGCAGAGCGCGGTATGAGATTCCCGGCCAGAAGCCTCGCTCCAGCCCCCGCCCCTGCTGTGGGAAGCGACCCCCACCCTAGAGTTTGACGGCCTCGACCTTCCCTGTTCCAGGTGGAGGCCTGAAAACTGTAGGGTGGTTGTCCCTGCGCGCTGAGCTGCGCCATCTCAGCGGAAGATGACGTCACGTCAGCATCCACTTTACGTAGAGGTGACATCTGGCGGGGGGTGACCCTTCATGGAAAGCAAATAGACTCTGGCCCCATTTTTTTTTTTTTCCTTATTTTGGTACAATTTGATGTGTCTCCCAAACCCTCTGTCGATTTTCACCATCCGGATTTCCAATCAGAGATGCTCAAATGAACCCACAGAGCCTAGGGGGCCGGAAACACCTCCAGCCTCCACGTCTTTGGAATAAAAGAATGGGGGTCCCAGAGCTCGAGCGAGGCAGGACTCAGGGGTTGGGGGCTTCAGAAAACCCGCCGCTTGTGTCCTCTGCCTCCACGGACACTGTCCCCAGAACCCGAGAGGCTGAGAGAAGTCTAGTCCGGTTTGCAAGCTCATTGCTCCCAGGCGCTGAGGGTTGTAACCTGCTCATGGTTCCGGTACTGTGGCCACTGGTTTAGAAGAAGAGGAAGAGAACCTCAGATGGGTGTTGGGGGGCGTCTGTCATCTTGTACCCGACTTGGTTGATAACTGTCTTGCTACTTGCATTTCTTTTAAGAGGCCAAATCTTCTAAGGAGTCCACTAAATGAGCACAAGAATCAGATCAAGGACAGACGTGTGTGTGTGTGTGTGTGTGTGTGTGTGTGTGTGACATTCATGATCTCTGGGAGATGACTCTGGATCCAGGGTGCCATCAGCCATCATGCCACTACTCACAGTGTTGTTAGCCAACCCCATCCACACACTGCTATTTCACTGCCTGCTGCCTGGGAAGTGGAAGTGTACGCCCCACCCCTTTTGTACTTATTTATTGAACCAGCTGCGGTGTCCGTGAGAGTACGATGTACAGTCAGCTCACCCAGGGTGGCTCCAGCCGCAGCCCCAGGACCCAGTCCCCCGTCCCCGTCTTCTGAGATGAACAGCAGTACAGTTTCGGTCCCCTGGTCCCCCGCACCTGTAGAGTCAGGAAACCTGGATGCATTTCAGCTCAAAGAGGTTTCATTGCTGGAAGGATTTTAATATGTTTTGCAAATGCATCATGCAATGAACTTTGCATGTTTATAATAAACCTTAATAACAAGTGAATCTATATTATTGATATAATCCTATCAAGTATAAAGAGTATTATAATAATTTTATAAGACACAACTGTGCTATATTTGTGAAGGCTCTTGTTTCTCACTTGCTTTTATGACTAAGTTTAGCTCCCTTCCCCCGCACAGCTTCCTTTTCCACACCCCCACTCTGTGTGTACCCTGCCTTGGCACTAGAGTGGCTTTATTAATTTTTTATTGCAGTAGATCTTATTTTGAAAGTGAATGGCTACTTTACGTGATCCAATAAGGCATATATATGTATAAATATTTAATTCTACCTGCAAACAGAAGTTTTGTCTGGGAGATAATGTTGAGGTGAGACCCCCCACCCCGCTGCCCTTGGCCTCCGAGCACCATCTGTGCCCTGGTCCTGTGTCCCTGTCTCTCCTGGAGCCTCGGGGACCCTCTGGCTCCAGGGGACCCAGGCCGCCGGTGCCGCTGTGATGTCATCGCAGCCCCAGGCCAGACCTGGTTTGTCCATTCTGTTCCCTCCTACAGCCTTGCTGCTGCTAGTGATGCAGGAAGCCCTTCCCGGCCTGGATGCCCCAGGAGTGTGCGGGCCTTGGGACAACCTGCCAGCCCCTCCGCACCTGCAGACTGCGTGGCCAGGCCCAAGCGGTCCACCGCCATGCCCCAGTGGTCCAGACACTCTAGGGAGGCCGGGCACCCTCTCTGGGTCTTGGGAGGAGCACGCCTGTGAGACAGCATCACAGCGAGGGCCTGGGGGGAGCCAGCTGCCAACAGCAGGAAGAGCGTTTCCACAGACGTGGTCGTCAGTCCTTACGGGGCTGCTCTGTTCCCTGTTGTTCCCCAAAATGTCTCCCAGTGAGGTGTCTTCTCACTTTTACGCTCCGCCTCTTTCCTGATTCTCAGCTGACACACAACCCTGAGGGGCTTTAAGAGGCGAGAGGCCTCCCCCGTCCTGGGAACTTGTGCTTGGAGGAGGCAGCGGGTAGGAAAGAGCTTAGACCAGGTTAGACCAGAAGAGAGGAGCTTCTTCCGCCACCGTTGCTGGACCGTGGGCCCCCGGGGGTCAGTGCAGGTCTGACCCCGTCCTCCCCCACACCTCGATTGGTCTGATGGAAAGGGACCCAGGTATAGAGAAAACCTAAGAAACAGCCGGTCACCTGCCGTGGAGTGGAGTGACCCCAGAACAGGTCCCCAGGCAGGCGCTTGGCGAGGGGAGGGCAGTCCAGGATGGCACTCTGGGGTGCGGACCGCGTGCTCCCCAGCAGGCCCTGAGCTGGGGAAGCCGCTCTGTCCCTCCGGCGCCAACACGCTTCCAAGTTGCTCCTCTTTCTCGGGAAGCTTGCTCTGCATGCCAGCTGGCTTCCATCCTTTCTGAACGTGCGGAACCCCCCGTGTGAGGGCCAGCCCTGTGGGAGCGGCTACAGGCGTGAGGACAGATGGGGGGAAACCGGGGAAGATCAGGGTCAGCGGAGGGTCACCGTGGTGGGGCGTGTCAGTACGTTGCTGTGCCCTGAATTTAGACTAAAGCTGATGCTTTTTAAGAATCTGAGCATCCCACGATAGTTCTGTTGAAAGCACACGCCACATAGGTGACGGTTAGCAGAGTGGATTGAACCAAAGTTCTGCGGATTCACCCCCGCCCCATCATGGGGGTCCCGTAAAATAAAGCCCAAGGAGGAGGCCTTGAGGGGTCAGGCCCCCGAGAGACCCGGGAAGGACCAGGCGGTATCGCCGGGGCCTGTGGGCCCAGCGGGCCCAGCAGCAGCAGAACCCCGGGGAATCCAGACCCCGTGGCTCCAGAAGCCGTTCAGAACGTCGCCGCCCGCTCGGGTGGGACGGCCCTGCGAGGCTGCGGGCCGTGGGAGGGGCGGCCCCTCCTCTGGCGTCTTGCTTAAACCCACAGGGGCTTGGTTTGAGGAAGCATCTGGAGTGCGCCGCCGGCAGCGGTTCCCGGGAGGTCGGCGGGGGCCTGGCGGTCCTGGCGGTCGCGGGGAGACCCGGGTCCCGCGAAGGTTATTGTCGTTGCGTTTGCTCTTCCGCCCCCCTAAGTGAGCTCACCCTCCCGCAGGGTCACTGCCCGCTGTGTCCTCGGAGGTGTGTTAGGCTTTCTTATCAGGACTTTGGGAGAAAATCAGAGGGTGAATAGGTCTTTGGAAACCCGGGCTGAAAAGGTCGGATGGAAGACCGCGAGGACCCAGGCTGATGCGATTCAGTGCACGGCGGATGCGGATGAGCACGGTCTGCGCAGTGGCACTCGGCCGAGTGCGGGGACAGAGGGGACGGGCCCCTGCTGCGCTCTGAGCCCGGAGAGGTCGTGGGAGGGGTTCGAGGGGTCCAGGCAAGGGCGGGCTTGGGCGCAGAAGGACTGACACGCCCGCAGCAGGAGGAAGCCGGGAGGGAGGGAGAGGGCCCCTGGGAGGGCGTAGCTGTTTCCGGAGGCTTGAGAGCAAGTTTGCTGCTCCTGCCCCAGAACGTTCCCAAAGGCTACGGCCCGGCCCCTGAGCCCCTGGCCCCGTGAAGGGGCTTCCAGCTCTGGGTGGGACCCGAGTGTCCGGCAGGTGGGCCGCTTTCCCCGTGGCTTCCTGCAGCCCAGGGCAAAATCGCCGGACTCCACAGGCACCCTCCACGCCGAGGGCACTGAGCGGAAGTCTAAGTGTGTGGCTGGGGGTGTTTTCTCAGAGCTGCAGGAAGGCAGAGTGAGAGTCATCCCGTTTTAAAGCCCCAGAAAGGAAGCGCCCCGTGGCAGGCACCTTCTCACTGCCTGCCGTCTGGTGCAGTCACCTCTTTGTCGTGCGCCTGGCGCACCGTCTCCTGCTTCTCGAAGCCCAACACGCGCAGCCGTGTCTGTTCCCCCACCAGGTGCCCGAAACATCCTCATGGCCCTGGCACCGGGCAGGGAGCCAGAGATGACTCTCAGGGTCCGGGGAACAGGGGAGAAAGACTACCTGGCTGGTGATCACCACACTGGAATCTAACAGGGAGTGTTGGGAGATGTCTTAAAATCTTTTCCTTGAGATACTTGGGTTATACTTCATGAAATATAGTGACTGTCAGCATTTCTATCGTTTCCTGTTTGGGCGGAGGCAGCCATCTAGCAATGCCGGTCCGCTGTTGGAAAAGTCCCCTGAGTCACACGTGGGGGAAGGCAGCCATGTAGAAACCCCGCGGCCACAATTCTGTTAATCCTGTAAGTCAGGGGCCCCCAGGAGGGTTAAAAGCTGAGATTAGGACCCCAGTGCCTCTGATCTTTGTGATCAGCTGATAGTTAATAATTGTGTGTGTCCAACTCAGTCATCAAACAGCCTTATGATAACCCGCACTATGGCCCACAGGCTCCAAAGACTTTTTGAAAACTTATGGAAAAAATTAATTTGTTAATTCCAACAGAACACCTGAATATACTGGGCTATTTGTACTTTTTTATAGAGAACTTTAATAACTCAATTCTTCCTTTAAATTGAGTTTTTAAAATAAAACTCATTTTATTTTAAAATGAGTTCATAAGATTTCATAAGATTCCAATGATTCCAATGGTTTCATAAGATTCCAATCACTAGGAGCCTGTAGGAGGACTCGGCTGGGGTGGGTCACCTGGAGCACCCCAGACCTGCACTCCCGCTGCAGGATTGTCCTCCGCTAGTGGGGTGTGGTGGCCCCCTCACAGTGACTGGAAGTCCAAATGGGATGTGTTGGAAGAATGACGTCCTTGATGTTTTTAACCGACAGTGGGGACCACTGTCTAAAGTCTGGAAGCTCTGGACCACGGGAAAGCAGCTCTCCTGCCCTCTGTACAGGCGTGGCTGCAGGATGGGGGGGCCCTGGGGCCCCTTTTGTTGCTCCTCAAGACACTGCAGCCACCTTTTGGCCTGGGAGCGAGGTGTTTCCTCCGCTCTGTCTCCCTTTCCTAGGGGCCCCAGGTCTCACTTGTTTGGGGAAAGTTCAGCGATGTGCTGTAAGAACTTGGCCCACGGGGCAGCTCAGAACTGCTCCAACGCCCAGAGAAAAGCAGCAAACGTGCCCATCAGTGTCACCTCTCGTGTGAGCAGACAGGACCCCTGTTTGCTCAGAAAAACCCGTTTGCTCAGAAAAAAACCCTGTTTGTCAGAAACCAGTATCAAGTCTACTTTCTAAGAACTTTTTTTTCTAAAATAAGACAAAAGGTGGCGTCGCATTTTCTGATTCAACAACAGTGTCCTTGTCTCCTCGGCTTAACTCTAGGAGTTTTTATTCCAGTGACTTGGTAGACTTTTGTTGATACTCTCCCTGGAAAAATGTGATTCTTTTCTTGAAGGGACGAATCAAAATCATCCATGAAGGCTGTGATTCTTCTGAGTCTAAAAATTCACCTCGTATCTCCTCTATTAGAGTCTTTCAGAATATCTTTTATAGATGATCAGAAACATTTGAAATCATTGCTTTTGCGCTATTGTCGGGGGGAGGGTTGAAGGACACACCAGGTTTAAATCGTTAATTGAAAAACATCCCGTGTCAATCAGACCCCAAATCTGTGTGGAGGAGGCAGGGTTGGCGGGTGCGGTTTCCCTTCTGTGTGAACAGCTACTGACGATGTGCAGAGGCTGTTCAGCTGTCCGGTCATGTTCGGTTTATCATGGGCGAGACGGGTGTGCAAATTGCTGCATTGCTCTAACACTGTCCCCTCTGATCTCTGTTTGCATGATATGCTCTGTTAGATACATTAACTGTAGTTTGGAAGCCGTGTGTATGAATAAAGACAATGACCATCCCTTCGTGTCCTCGGTCTCGTGTGCATCCTCGGTGGCGGCACGGGCACTTTTCCTCGTGGTCACGGGGCAACCCCAAGGCCAGAGCACGTGGGCAGGTCCTCTGGCCCTGCGGAGGCCGAGGGGAAGGCCTGAGCACCAGGAGGTCCACGCTCCATTCACCATCATTAACCCCGAGACAGAGGCCCCGCTGCCCTGGAAGCCTGTCCCCCTGCCCCCCACACCTGGTGCCCACTACCTATGACCCTCTGGCAGGCCGGCAGCTCGTCCTCCGGTCAGCTCGGCAGGTCGTCCAGCTGACAGGGCACCTGTGGTCCCCGTCCCCTGCTCCTGCCCCTCCTGGTTGTGGGCAGATTTCCGCGCTGCCTGCGGCCTGCGTCCAGCCCTGTCCGCTTGCATCCAGCTTGTCAGCGAGTCCTGCTGCGCCTGCTGTGACTCCCCACGGCGGTGACTTTGTCCCCAGTGGGCCTTGGGCAATGTTTTGAGACAGTTCTGGTCATCGTGTCTGGAGACTAGTGCACGGGCATCCAGTTGGCAGGGGCCAAATCAGAGATGCTGTCAACGTTCTACGCCCTGCAGGGTGCCCACAGCGAGGGCAGACCCAGCCCAGATGGCAGCACTGCCAACACTGAGATCCTTGCTCCGGGAAAGCCCTCAGGCTGGCCGCCGGGCCCCACGTGCACGGGTCTCCCTGCCTGGGTCCCTGAAGCCGCGCTTGCCAGCCCCACGGCCCTCTGCCAGAAGCCGGCATGACTTTGTCTGAGCAGGTCCCCTGACTGTGTAAAGCCCTGCAGCAGCTTCCCATGACCCTTAAATAAACCAAACGTCCCCACTACCCACCAGCCTCACCCAGCCTGGCTTGTGACATCAGGTTCCACAGGTAGGAGGTGGGCTCAGATGGTGCTGACTTGATTATTCACTCTTGTGTGTGTGTGTCTGTGTGTGTGTGTGCATGCGTGTGTGTCCCCTTTCCCATCAGAATGCAAGCCCTACCAGAAAACCAAGCATATCCCCAGCACTTAGAAGAAACCCCAGCACCTAGAACAGTGCTTGGCACGTGGCAGCAGCTCCTGTCTGGAACGAATGAATGAGGGTGTGGGTCCCAGGGCTGCCCGGAGCCCAGCCGGTGGTGACCCGAAGCGTCACTGTGTCAGAGCCACGCTCCCGAGGTGTCTGCAGGCCGACGGTGGCGACATGGTACGCGCACACAGGAATGAGCTCAGCGTCGGCTCCGAGCCCTTCACCAGCCTCTGCTGCGGGAACCCCAGCTGTCCATCTGGGGGCAGTGGCTGCTGCGCTGACACTGGGGTGACGCCTGACGCCCTGGGGTTTGCTCCTCTGGCCTGTTGTGTGCTCTGGGGTAAAATCAAGCTGCAGCTGAAACACTTAACGCCCACAGGCAAAGGCGGAGCCCCTGGCTCTGAAGGGTGGGGCTGGGTCTGAGGGGTGTGTGCCAGCTGTGCTGTGGCTCTGAGAAGGCAGCACCCGGGTCTCCTCCAGACACTTTTGATAAAAAGCTAATGGCAACCCACTCCAGTACTCTTGCCTGGAGAATCCCATGGACGGAGGAGCCTGGCGGGCTACAGTCCACGGGGTCGCAAAGAGTCGGACACGACTGAGCGACTTCACTTTCAGTTCAATAAGTAACGTCGCAGGAAGACCCATTCTAGGCAGGAGAGGGGAGCGCACGATATGGTTCTAAAGAACAGAAGAGTTAGTGTGGGCTCAGCAGAGACGGGGGAGATGGCAAAAGATAAGATGATAAACCCACACACAAGCACACATATGCACACACACAGTACCTAAAGCATGCCAGGCACCATTCTTGTTTCTTCAAGTGCATTTTTTTTTTCTTCAAGGGCATTTTTAAAGCCCACAGTGACTCCCTGAGGTGGGTCCTGTTTGCTGTGCCCATTATACAGAAGAGGAAATTAAAGTCCAAGAGGTTAAATAACAATCCCCAGGGGAGTAACACCAGACAAGCTGAGCCAACTGGAAGAGCACAGATGTGAGTCGTGCCAGGGGAACCTCTTGGAGGAAGGGGCGGGAGGCTGATGGAGAAAAGGGTGGATGGGAGGGGTCAGAACCACACGGAAATCATCAAACAGGGAGGAGGGGAAGGACTGACTCTGATCCAGCTCTTGCTCTGGAGGAATTGCCATGTGATCACCCCCTTCAGTCCTCAGGATGCCTCCCAGAATAGAGCTGGGGTTCCCGTCTCACGGACCAGAAGCTGAGGCCCAGCTTAATTAACTGCTTCCAGTCACACACTTCCTGAGCAGCGCAGTGAGGTGTCTCTGACCTTCCTGACCCTGCAAGCTCAGCCTGGCTGGGGTTGCAGGACCTTCCTGGGCGCCTCTCCCCTCAAGCTTCCCGCCAAAGCCCACCCCATCACCAAGGGGAAGCTTCCTTTTCTCAGCTGACCAATGCCTCTGAGACCAGAGGCCCTTCTGTAACTATTTCTGGAAGGCTCTCTCCCACCTTCACCTGACTTTTTTTGAGCTGTCTGGGTGTGGGTGGAGAGAGAAAAACAGCACCCCGTCTCTCAGAACCCTCTGCAGCAGCCCCGCACACCGCTGGCTCTCACGGGGGCACCGGCCAGTCCGGTAGGTCGTCCAGTGGCACGTCTGCTTTGGAGAAGACTGCCTCTTGACGCGAGGCTCCGCTGCTCACCACTCGGGTCTGCACGTGCTCAGTTGCTCAGTCATTTCGGACTCTTTGCGACCCCATGGACTGAAGCCCACCAGGCTCCTCGTCCATGGAGTTTTCCAGCAAGAATACCAGAATGGGTTGTCACTTCCTCCTCCAGGGGATCTTCCCGACCCAGGGATCGAACCTGTGTCCACCTGTGTCTCCTGCATTGGCAGGACTCTTTACCCCTGAGCCCTCTGGGGAGCCCAGCTCAGGTCTCCATAGAGCTGCTCGAATGCCCAACAGAGTGACAGTGTTGACCCAAAAGCAAGGGACTCAAGACAGAACAAGGAAGAAGTGGTGCCTTGACAGCCTATCTTGGGCGACACAGCATCACTTCCACCATTTGCTACTCCTCAGCAGGGAGTAACTAAGTCTAGCCCATACTCACGGGGAGAGGAGGTAAGGGCCACTTTGAGTCTGTGGACACCGTGGGTGGGGGAGCCTCCAAGGGTCCTGCCCACTGTTAGTAAAAGAAACAAGAAGACCCTGAGCTGCCTCTTCGACTGCAGGATGCTCATGTCCCAGGCCTTTCAGGGAGTCAGCCTCACCCTGAGACTCTTTCTTTTCTGTTTTTATCATAAAATACGTGCTTGCTGTTGAAAACCTGGGAGATACAGAAAAATCAAGATAAAATAATAAAATTCACACAACCTAGAGAGAATCAGCGATCACACCGCAGTTTATTTCCTTCCTTCTGTGTGCTGTCTGACACTGTGCGAAACGTGATGAGTGTACACTTCCGTATCCTGCTTCTCCATGTAATGTCACTGCACACATTTTCCTTCGAGTCACTAAGAATTCTTTCTCTCTTTTTGACTGAGCCATGGGGCTTGTGCAATCTTAGTTCCCAACCAGGGATCCTACCTGGGTTCACAGCAATGAGAGTGCGGAGTCCTACCCGCTGGACTGCCAGGCAATTCGCAAGAACTCTTTGTAGTGGATGCTTTAAATGGCTACTTAGTTCTCTTAGTTCTCCTACTGATGCCCCTATTACTGGACTTTAGGTTATCTCTAGCTTTTAATTATTTTTAACAACTCAGTGATGAACATCTTTGTTCCTAAAATTTTGAAGGCACTTTGGATCATTTCCTCAGTTGTGTTCCCAGAAATAGAAAAACTGAACATTTTTGAGACTCTTGGTACTTTTTCCTTCTGGTTTGGCTTCCTGGAGCTCTGCTTTTCTTGGTAACATCCTCTTGCTCTTGGATCAACTAGTAACTTGCACTTCTTTTCAAACAATGTCAATTCTGTTGTTAGTTTGCTGTCAAGTTCTGTCCTTTATTCATTCAACAAATATTTATGTGAGCCCTGTATCAGGTGCCAGGCCAGGGCTCTGTGATTCCCAGAGCTCATAGTCAAGAGAAATCTTGGCTTTTGCCTTGGTTCACAGGATTTGAAGCAGCTTACCCGTAAAACACATCAAGAAAATAATAAAAACAGAAGGTCAGGACCAAAGACAAGAGAAACAGAAATATATTTCCCACCAGAGTTAACACAATTGCTGTAACTGACCCTCATAATGGCTTTGCATTTCCAGCAGCCAAAACAATTGGAATCAATGCTCCATTATAGGGCTCTCCCAACCTGGAAAAGAGGAAGCATATGTGTTCCTCCAGGAATGAGATCCTTTCCTAGCACTGAGTCCTGAAAGGAATCCTTGGGTGTGGTTTTATTACACAGAAGAGAGACTGAGCAACGGAAGAAGTGTATTTCAGGTTTTATGAAACAATAAACGCAGGAACAAACTTCACACGGCCTTTTTTAGTGACCCTTCAGTGGCTTAACATTGAAATGCCACTTCATGAAGGGGACAGACAACTAAGTAAGAAGATGAACTCAGGTCTCCAGGTGAAGAGCCAATTGTGTGTTCCAAGTCAGTCCATGAATTTAGAATTCCTGGAGGAAAAAAAATAACAAGACTTCAAGTTCTATGTATTACCTTGGCAAAAATTAAGCCTTCTTTAAAGATTAAAACCCAATTTTGGCAAGCACTGGGAAAGCTAGCCCTCCCCTGAGCTGCGGGTGGGAGTATAAATTGGTACAGTCCTTCTGGAGGGAAATTTGGCACAAGTAACAAGAGTCTTAAAAACGCGCTTACACACAGCAGTTCTGTGGTGGGGGATATTTTTCCTGAGGAAATAATAAAAAGCGCACACCAAGCCTTAATCACCAGGAGTTTGCCCTGCTCTGCTTCTTGGCCTGCAGTCAACACAGATGGGCCCACCCAGGCCTGGAAATCTCCGGATCTGAGGCGCTTTGGGGAGGCGGGTCTCTTCTGTCACTCATGTCAGCATATCAGCTCCCTCTTTCTTTCTAAAACCTTTTATTTTGAAATCATTTAAGACTCAAAAGAATTTGCAAAAATAATACAGAGTTCCCACCTACCCACCACAGCGATGGCTTACATAATCACAGCACATGATCCAAATCAGGACGTCAACCGCGGAAAGGAGCTACTAACCGACCACAGACTGATCCTGCTCCCACAGGTCTTCCGTGCTGTGTGTGTTTCCATGAATTCGGTCGTGTGTACCGATCCCCGGGACCACCACCGTATTCAAGACAGGGGCCGCTGGGGCCGCAAGCGCCAGGCCCCCGCTCCAGCCCCCGCAGTGGCTGATGCCTCCCCACCCTCGTTCCCAGAGAGTTACATAAACGGGAGCACACATCGTGCGGCCCTCTGAATGTGTTTCTGCCTCCTCTGCTTGCCTGTTTTCTCAACATCTCAGCCGACTCCGCCTCCTCCTGGCTTCTCCCAGCGGGTCAGGCGGGGAGGCCTCGGGGTCAGGCTCCAGGCACCCCAGTCCCCTGTGGCCGAGGAGAGAAGCCACCTGATAGCACACCCCGCGGGCACGGGGCGGTCCCTGCCGGGGTCGTCGGGGCGGGAGGGCAGCGGGGGCTGCTTGAACTGCTGTAGCCTCTTTGCAGTTTCTCAGGAAAGCCCTCGACTTACAGGGCTACCTGGTCACCGTCCTAGCAGGACGCAATCTGGGGCTGACTGGGGGGGACCGTGCGTCCTCTAGAGCCCTGGGGGACGGGTCCTCATGGTGTGACTCCAGCTCAGGAACCCCAGCATCCTCAGGGCACTGTGGGTTCTGGGTGAGGACACCTGCTGCGAGCCGCCTCTGGTGACCTTCCAAGGCCTATGGACGCCCCGAAGGGCTGTTGGGAGAGACCAGCTCGACATCAAAGTGGTCCTGGGGGCTTTTCAGTCTGAAAGAATGACTTGTTGCATGGTTTTCCAGAAGTGCTTATCCAGGGCTCGCTGGCAAAACGCACCGTGGCAGCAAGAGCGATTTATAGCAAAACGATTACAGCGATTATAGGCAGGACTCAGAAGGAGCAGAGCCCAGTCCCCTGTGCAGGGCTTCTCCCCCACAGAGGGCGACGTCGTTTCTGACGGCAGCGGCTGCATAGCTGACGGGCAAGGCGGTGAGACAGACCTGTTCCTTCTTCCAGGCCGTGGACAGAGACCAGGACCGTCCGCAGCAGACCGGCCACTCCTGCCAAGAGCTGCCTCCTGCCCCCCATTCCTCAGGATGTGCACGTGGATCTGCTTTCTTTATTTCAAGATTTCTCCAGCTGACATTTCTCAACCTGACAAGCATCTCACTGTGACATTTGGGGATTCACTATTCTTTGCTGTGGGGACTGTCCTGGGCATCCCAGTCCAGCAGCATCCCTCCCCTCTGTCCACTGGAGCCCTTCACCCTAGCTGGCAGCCAAAGGTGTCTCCAGATATCGGCCAGCGGCCTGGGGGTGGGGAAAAGAGGGGCTCGCTTAGTGCTGGGCACGGGGCAGGTGGTCACCCCAAGGAGGAGGGAGAATTAGGGTGCTTCCTCCCCAGTGTGGTTCAGGACGCTCTGCTATGACCCCCAGAGCGACCCTGCCCCCATGCATCTGCAGGGCCTCCGGGGGTGTAGTCTCCCATGAGGGGAACCCCCAAGCAGGACCCCCCCTCTGCAGGGCCATCTGGGGGTTTCATCCCCCGCGGTGGACCCCCCCTCTGCAGGGCCATCCGGGGGTTTCATCCCCCGCGGTGGGCCCCCCTCTGCAGGGCCATCCGGGGGTGTCATCCCCCGCGGTGGACCCCCCCTCTGCAGGGCCATCTGGGGGTTTCATCCCCCGCGGTGGGCCCCCCTCTGCAGGGCCATCCGGGGGTGTCATCCCCCGCGGTGGACCCCCCCTCTGCAGGGCCATCTGGGGGTTTCATCCCCCGCGGTGGGCACCCCCTCTGCAGGGCCATCCGGGGGTGTCCCCGTCCTGGCTCAGCCTGGTGCCCCAGTACCCCTGGTGCCCCAAAGTGCACCCCCTGCCCCACCCCGCCCTGCCCGGCAGGCTGGTAGATGAACCATCAGGGAGCGCTACCCTCCCCAAAGAGACTTACAAGTGGATGTGTGACAAAATCATAAAAAGCCGCTACTTTTCACCAGACCCTGTGCCGCTAAATACTCTGAAGATTCGTCTCCTTCATTCTCTCCACAAACTTGGGTGTTGCAGGCTTTATGTGCCTGTTTCAAATGATGAAAGTGAAAGTCGCTCAGGCGTGTCCGACTCTTTGCCACCCCATGAATTACACAGTCCATGGAATTCTTCAGGCCAGAATACTGGAGTGGGCAGCCTTTCCCTTCTCCAGGGGATCTTCCTGACCCAGGAACTGAGCCAGGGTCTCCTGCATTGCAGGCGGATTCTTTACCAGCTGAGCCACCAGGGAAGATGGAACCAGAACTTAAGGGATCAAGAAGTTTACCCAGATCGCCTCATGGTTGACGGATAACATTGACTCTCAGACCCCTCTCCCCCAGCGCACACGTGCTGGGATCAGTGAGTTCCAGGTGGGCGGAGGTACCGCGTGTGGAGTGGCGGGGGCCCCAGAACCGGTCACCCCCGTGCTTCGAGCAGCTTTGACCTTTCACCCCAGTGGGCCATGGTGAACTCACCATCATCTCACCAAACTCACCATCATCATTATCTTTGTCTTGAAAAGGGTCAGGAAACACAGCCTGAGTTAAGCTTTCTCCTACGAATAGACATCAGACCTGCCAAGAAACGTCAGACATTTTCTAGTTGATGGTAAGAACCGAGGGAAGGAGATTTTTTTTCTCTCCCCAGTGTGAGCAGCATCTGTGATCTTTGCAAGTGATGGCTAAGGCATGTGTCATTCTGAATCAAGTTCTCCAGAAGCTGGAGGCTTCCAGGTAATCTGAAGCAGGTCCATGTTTTTGAGAGGCCAATTTGTCCTGCCCAGAGGGAGCCCTAGAACCAAGCCCAGGTGATTCCCACAGACAGACCTTCACTCGCTCTGGAAGGTCGGCCACAGCCTCTGGACAAGCTCCACGGCTCACAGGCTTCCGGGACCAGTGCTGTCTGTTCCCAGCTCCCCCCTCACCTTCACTACCTGTGTCCTCAGACGCCTTGTCCTGGAAATCAGTGTCACGGTTCTCACCGCAAGGAGGGCAGTGGCAAACTCACCATCATCATTTTAAAGAGGAAGGATGTGGAGAAATTATTATTAGGAAGGATGTGGAGAAATTGGAAACTTCATCCATTACTGATGGGAATACAAACAGTTTGCCTCTGTAGAGAATTCTGTCAGTTACTCAAACAGTTAAACATAGAATTATCCTATGATCTAGCAGTGCTACTCTGATGCATGTACCAACAGAATTGAAAACAGGTGTCCAAATACATGTACACATGTTCACAATCACACTATTCTCAACAGCCAAGAGGTGGAACTACTCGAATACCCATCAGCCAGTGAGAGGATAAACAAATCGTGATACAATAGAATGTTAGAAGCAAAAGGAATGAGTGTTGACGCAGCTACCACATGGATGGGGCTTGAGAATGTTACGCTAAGGGTAAGAAGCCAGACGCAAGGGCTGTGTATTATAAGACTCCACTTGTATGAAGCATCCAGACTGGTGACTCCGCAGAAGCAGAGACCACTTGGCAGTAGCCGGGATTAAGGGCAGGGAGGAGGTGTGAGGACCGGCCGCTGGGTGGTCCAGGGCTTCCTTGCACGTTAGTATCCCCGCTATAGCAGCCCAAGCAGAGCCCTGGGCCAGTGCACAGTGAGACGGTGGTCCACGCGGCCAGCGTCTGTGGATTTGGTGAGAAACACGCGTCCCTTCCCCCGGGGTCTGCTCCCAGGATTTCCTCTGAGGACCTGTTCCCCTCATCCTTTCTGCATCCTGAGCCCCAGGAGTCACCAGGCAGAAGGTTTCTTGTCTTGGGTCGGGCTGTGGTCATCACCTTTGCCAAGCCGCTCTGCCCTGTCCCGCTTTCTAAGCCCACAGGGAGCTGTGCCCGTGCAGGCCTCTTCCCGGACACCAGCCGACACTCCTGCTAAGGCCCCCGCCCCTGCCCTCCCCACTCTGCGGCCCAGCCAGGCCCTCCTTTCAACGCTGTTTTCTTGACCACTTGGCCACTTTCTCGGCTTTTGTGATGGAGAAGAGTCTTCATTTGGTAGATGGGTTCCCCTGCCCTTGGAACTGTTTTATAAGCCAGAATCTAGTTGCCAAGGGGACAGATATGGGAGCAGAGGGTGGACAGCTGGGCTTGGGGGACAGGGAGGGCAGCTTGGAGAGCGGCCAGTGGGGGACACACGCGGCTGCTCGGTCACCCGGCAAGGACGTGCGGCTGTGTGACCGCTCCCAGGCCCCGCTCCAGGGGGCGAGAGCTTCCTGTGGGGGCACGGGGCTCAGGGCTTTTCAGGGCCCTGTGGGAGAACCTCAATGGGCGTCGGAAGGGCAGGGGTGAAAACAGCTTGGACGGCGCTACGGGGTGACCGGCGAGGAGGGGCGTGCGGTCCGGGTGCCTGAGGGTCAGGGGGGCCCAGGGCCCCTCGAGCGGCCACGTCCACTCGGGGGAGCGACACCCGAGAGCCGGAATGTGCCAGCCTCCTCGAGCGCCCTCATGCCCTTATTTCTGGGGCAAACGCTTCTTGAGGCCTCTGTTTCCTCCTGTGGAACAGAAGGGACTCACTTCCTCGCCTGGAGGGTTGCTTGGGAGCCAAGTGAGGCAAAACACGAGGGCAAGTGCGCGGGGACGGGCGCGGCTGCTGCTATCCGCCAGCCCCGCAGAGCGGCTCCGTCCAAGCGCAGGCCCCCGGCCCCCAGCCCTACCAGGCCCTCTTCCCTCCCTCTGACACACGCACACACACGCATGCACTTGCGTGTGCACACACACACACTGAGAAACCCCCAGGCCCTGAGGTCGCGCTCATCTCAAACTTGACCTGCATCTGCTGGGAGACTCCGAGCCCGTCCATCCCGACATCCTGACAGCTTCCTCTGTTCCCCTCGCCCCTCATCCCCACTGGTGACCACGTGGACCGGGAGCTCGGGGTCCACAGCCCATCTCCTTCCCGCACAGGCTGTGTAACCCACATGCTCCTAAGGGCATGATCAGCAGGTATGAGAAAGTACGAGAAAGGGCGGGCAGGCAGGTGGGCAGGAAGACCAATCAGGTTAGACCACAATGTCCAGCTGAGGCGAACGGCCCTCCCAGCCCAGCAGCTTCACAGGAAAGCTTTTCTTTCCTTCCCAGGCCGTGCATCCATCACAGGTCTGCAGGGGGTTCTGCTCTGAGACATCACTTGGAGGGTCAGAGTGACACAGCACTCCCCAGGCCCAAAGGCCGCGAACTCAGACGGCGGAGCACTCGCGGCCGCTACAGTCCCCACCTGGGAGAGACACACGTCACCTCTGTCAGATGTCCGCGAATTGGTCCCTGAAGAGGCCTGGCTCGAGGGGTGCTAAGCATACGGTATGCAGTCTCCTCGCTACCGGGGACGCCTCTCTGTGTGCGCCTTCCCACCCCCGTGCCCAGGGCAGCCAGCCCCACATCCACCTGCAGGGCCCCAGGTGCCCCTTCCTCCTCCAGGACGTGACGGGAGATTTTCCTTGTCGGGAACAAGGCACATGTGGCTGAGTGCATGGCCCTGCCTGTCTGTTTCTAATTAAGACCTAACGCATGAAGCCATCAGCTGGGCCCAGGATTCAGAAAAGGCTGAGGTTTTATGAAACGCCTGAACCCTGGGAATGCATGAATTATTGAAAGGCAAGAAAGAAGCCCCGGGAAGAGGGACTGCTCCATTATTCATCAGGCCCGGAGTCCCCAGGTCCCCAGGCACACTGATGGGCTTCACACCTGCAGAATTTCCCCATTATGTCGACAGCGAGCTTGTCAGCAGGCTGTTCTGGCGACTTTGGAGTGGGGCTCCTGCCCACGGCATCCAGCGCCCGCCTCATTAGCTCAGCCAGTTCCCGGCCAACTGCCAGCGAGGCTGCTAGAGCAGAGAGCCACCCACCTTCCCTGCCTGGGGCGCCTGCTCACAGCCTCCAGGCCCCAGGTCCCAGCTCCTGGAGGAGCCAGAAGGCCTGTCGCCCTGGCCTGGGGGGTCCTCCGTTTTGTGGCCCTCTGCTCTCCGCCCATGCCTGTACCTCCCCTCCGCCCAGACCGCGGCATTTCCCTGAAGGTAACTGGTGTCCTCACACCTGCGCCCAGCCCGGCCCCTCCCCATGAAACTGCCTGCCCAGCCCTTTGTCCACCTAGTGACCTTCTCTTCAAGACCAGATCAGAGAAAGGGAACTAACTTCTGTCACGAGCTGGGTGTTAGATGTCTGTGCAAACATCACCCCAGTGAAGTGTTGCAGTGACCCAATAAGGAGGGTTGTCACCAGCGCCAGCTGCATAGTTTATGGGCTCGGGGGCAAAATTGAAATATGGTCCCTTGTTCAAAATGATTAAACAATTTAAGACGGCCAAAACAGACAAAAACAGATCTTTAAACCAACTGAGCCAAGAGCAGGTTCTGGATGAACGCACATACCCACCAGATCAGCCCTGGTTACAGGGGAGGAAAAGGAGACTCAGAGGGGTCAAGAAACTCGTCCAAGTCACACAGCCTGGGAGGGGCAGAATCAGGCTGGAGCCCAATTTCCATCTAATCCTTCCATCCAAGAGTCTGGGGCTGGTGGGGGCTGGGAGGTTGAGAGAGGCTGGACTCCATCCCGATGAGAGATGTGGACACCTTCATTGGGGTGACCTCTCCAGGGGACCCTGGGAGTGGAGAGGAACACGCTCCTGGGGAAGGTGGGTGAAGACAGAAAGTTGGGTAGTTTTCAGGCCTAAAATGCTGTGAACAGACACCTGGTGTGTCCTCTCCACACACTTTCAGTAGTTCCAATGCCTCGTGACCCCATTTATACATGACAACGTCCTGTGACACACAGGGACCCAGAGAATAAGGGACATATATAAACTGAAAAAAGAAGAAATAAAAAATATCAGTTGTTATGGTGGCACTAGTGGTAAAGAACCCACCTGCCAATGCAGGAGACATGACAGGCGAGTTCAATCCCTTTTGGCAAGATCTCCTGGAGGCGAGCATGGCAACCCACCCCAATATTCCTGCCAGGAGAACCCCATGGACAGAAGAGCCTGGCGGGCTGGAGTCCATGCGGAGGCAAAAAGTTGGACATGACTGAAGCAACCGAGCACAACTCGTCATTTACTGTACGTATATTTCCATCCTGTGCTTCCGAGGGGCAAGCGATGTGCTTAAGGGCACACATCCGGGAGCCAGGCGGTCTGAGCTGCGCTGCGCGGCCCCAGGCACGTCACTTCGGGGCTCTGGCCTCAGTTGTCCCATCCGCACAATGGGGTTGTTGGGCAGGAGGGTTTCAGAGAGCAGAGCGCTCCCAGCAGCGCCCAGTGCACGGGAAGTAGCCGCCACAGCAGCTGGCGGCGGAGCTGTCTGTGGATGGCGGCGGCACGGGGCCGGTCACGCAGCTGTAGCTGCAGCTGGAAGCGGAGGGGAAGTCTGACTCAAGTCCGGGGAGCGGGCCGGGAAGGCGGATCCTGGCCAAGCTCTAGGCGGCCCCCGGATCCCTCTGCTCCCCACCCCAGCCCCCGACTCTCCACCTGCAAGCCCCGCGGAGCTGTGTCCCCGCCACGCGCGCGCTTCCCCGGTGGAACCCGTGAGCACAGCGCCCCCCCCGCCCCCATCGCGCAGCGGAGGACAGAGGCCCCGCCCCGCCCCGCCCCGCCGGCCCCGCCCCGCCCCGCCGGCCCCGCCCCGCCCCGCCGGCCCCGCCCCGCCGGCCCCGCCCCGCCCCGCCCCGCCGGCCCCGCCCCGCCCCGCCGGCCCCGCCCTCCCGAGCCGGAGCTGCGGCCGCGGTCGCCGGCGCTGTTCGTGCGGACGGACTGACGGACGGGGCGGGCTCCCCGAGCCCCGAGCGGAGCCAGCGAGGGACCCGCGACCAGGGCTGGCCCGCCACCGCTCCTGCGAGGTAGGAGCCGGGGGCCGGGGACCGGCTTTCCCCTCGCGGGCCCCCAGGGGCCGAGCCCCCGAGCCTGGGCCGCCTCGCGGGTTCCCCCCCATTACCGCGGGGCCGGGTGGGGGCCGGACTGTCCCCGAGTGCGCGCGCCCCAGTCCCGCGCGCTGAAGGAAGGCGCGCGGTGGGGGGAGCGTGTATGCGTGTGTCTGTCTGTCTGTCTGGCTCGCCGGTGGCGGGGGGGGGGTGACGACGCCCCCTCTGTGCGGGCGCGGCTGGACTACCCTCTCCAGAGCTGAGCGCGCACGCCCACGACAACTTGAATAGCGCCGCGGGCAGCGATTATCGGGGTGGTACGGGGGTAGCCCCCCACCACCTGTCGAACTAGGCTGTCGGTCCGCCTGCTCCGGACGCCCCGGCGGGGCCGCGGGGACGGTGCGGGTGGCGAGTATGCTCCGTCCAGCGGGACAGGAGAATGTGTCTAACCAGAGGCCGCAGAGCAGAGATGGACTCGCGGCGAGACGCGGGTGCGGGGCCAGAGGACTGAGGAAGTGCCGGCAGGTGCAGTGAGACATGGCAGCCCCACAGCGATGCGTCTCCCTGGCCCTCCAAGCCCCTCCCCGTTCCAAAGACATAGCCTCTCTCTCTGCCCTCACCCTAATTTGGCAGCTGATGAAGACTCAGTGTGCTAAAATTTTTTAGTGATGTCAGATTGCTTCTTCCTAGGACGGAAGAGAGAATCCCCTGGGACTTGGCTGGGCAGGGGGAGGGAGTGGGGGACTGGGGGTTCACATTCTGAGCTCCCCAGTGCTGACCCGGGTGCCTGCTCGCAGTGCTGGGGCCCCCGGCTCTCACTTGCCCCCCTCCCCGGGACTGGTCACATCAGTATCCCTTTTTATGGTTGAGACTCGATCGGGAAGGGGCAGGGATCCACCACTTCCTGTACAAGCGCAGGACCCAGCAGAGGGGCCCCACGTGGGGGCCTGGCTTAGTTTGACAGAAGCCACACCGCAGCTGTCCCCGCGCTGGCCCCTGGCCCACACTGTCCGGGGAGAGTAGGACGGAGCCCCATTGCCGCCCCCTCCCGCAGCCCCACATCGAACCCGTGCCCAGGGTTCAATGCATTAACAGCCCAGATTGCACCTGGGTAGGCACAGGGGTCCTTGGCTCATATCTGGTGCCCTGGCCCCAGGACATCCCAGGACCATGGGCAGCGCGGTTGGCTGCGCGCTCTGCTGGCCCACGGGCACCCCTGCATGCCTGAGACATGCGAGCTTGCCTCACTTCTCCACGGACTAGGCAGCTGGAGGCAGCTGGGGACATGTCCCAGGGCCAGGTCCCCAGGGTGCTTAGAAAGGGGGCAAAAATTGTAGCGGCCACCAAGTCACCCCCACCCCAGACTTCAGCCTGCCTCTCACATGGGGGCGGGGTGGAGCGGGGCGCCCTGTGCCCTGTGTCGCTTTGTGGCATGGGGCATCCTGGCGGGCTGCACTCCTCACCGCCCCGGCTAGGAGCCAGCTGTGAGACCTCGGCCATTCTTAGACAGCGAGGTGGGGTTCCGTGGCTTGCGGTTGGGGAGGGGAGTGCAGGGGGAGGCGGCCTGAACTGTTCACGCTTGACCTGAGGAGGCAGGCCATAGGTCATGGTGGGAAACACAGGCTCCAACCTCAGCTCCCTCATCTGGAATGGGGCTGGGGTGTGACAGGAAGCAAGGACACAGGTGTCGTGTTGGCTCACTGGGGATGGCCCGGGCCAGTCGACTCTGCTTCCTCCAGGCCCCACCTGACTCTCGGACCCTGGACTCGAGAGGTCGGGCCCCCTCGTGCTGTCCTCAGAGCTGGGGGCAGGGGTGTGAGTCTTTGTATCAGAGACGCTCACGGATTGGGCTCAGGTTCCCAGAAAGCAGGTGGGACATAGGAACCCAGTCTCTACCCAGCCCCACCTCGGAGGAGCTGACCCTTCTGCTCAGGCTTCCAGCCCTAGCTGCCCTGGGCCTGCCCCGCACAGCCTCCTGGCTCATTCCTGGGTGGTCAGTGAGCACACACCTGCTCCTTCAGTCCATCCTGGGTTTTGGGTTAGCCTTCCTCCCTGGCAGAATCAGTACCAGCTACTTGTGACCTCAGGGACACCAGGAAAACCCACCAGATAGCATCCTGTTCCTCTAAACCTAGCTCTCTGCTGCCTAATATTCCACCATTAGAGACTCATTCCTTTGCCTATTGTGGCTTTGTACCCAGTTAAGTCAGCTACTAAACCTAAGCGTAGGTGACTTGTTTAAAGGCTTTCAGGACCTGAGGGGAGATGGAGAGGGGAGGAAAGGGAACGTGCTGTGCTGGCAGGCCTCTGAGTTCCGTGGAAAAAGGCGCGGCTATGAGCTCCCAGGAGAAGGAGGTTTGGGGAGTCGGGGTGGGGCAAGTCAGGCAGGGAAAGTTGTGACCCTAAGTGGGAACTCTTAGCGGGACTGGAGGGCAGGCAGTCTGCTGAGCGAGAACAAGCAGATAGAAGTTTCCAATCCCGTGTGGGATTGCGGGGGCAGCAACCTGCTCCCCCCCACACCTCCCAGCGACAGCGCAGCCGCGTGGGGTGTGATGTGCTCTGGGTATAGGAGGTGCTCTTAGTTCTGACGGAGCCTGGCCAGCCATGCTGGCCGCTTAAAACTGCCACATTATTTGTCAGGTCAGCAGGTGCTGGGCTGTGCTGGCAGGGGTGAGGGGGAGGCTCCATGCGTCCCCACAGCCCCCCGGCGGCCTTCCCCGGAAAAGAGCAGGAGCATCGTGATTCACGCAGACCCCCGAGTCTCGGGGCTGCAGGGTTAGCTGGGGTCACCTTACTGCTCGTGGAGGTGGCCCCCGGCCTGGCCAGGCACGCTGTCTTGGGTTTTCCAACGTGAGGGCCAGTGTTGGGGGACATGGGGGTGAGAACTGACCGTCCCTGTTGAGCGGGGCCCCCAGCAGGCCCCCTGCGGGAGGAGAGGCCGCTGTCACTTGGGCTGCTGGGGCCTGAGCCGAGGACCGGGCCTGCCTGCAGATGGCCCAGCGGTGACCGTCTGCCACTCGTCGAGTGCTGCTGAGGAAAGGGCTCAGAGGTCGTCCGTCCCCAGGACAACCTGTTGCCATGAAGCCCCAAAGCACGGCCGTCCTTAAAGATTGTTCTCAACCGTGCATGCATGCTAAATTTATCCAGTCGTGTCTGACTCTTGTGACGCCACGGACTGCAGCCCGCCAGGCTCCTCCGTCCATGGGGTCTCCCAGGCGAGATACTGGAGTGGCTGCCATTTCCTCCTCCAGGGGACCTTCCTGACCCAGGGATCCAACCTGCGTCTCTCATGTCTCCTACGCTGACAGGCCAGTTCCTCACCACTAGTGCCGCCTGGGAGCCCGTTCTCAAGCATGTCTGTTTTAAGCGATAATGGTGGTGGTGGCAGTGGCCACAGAAGCTCTTCGTTCTTTGTCACTCATTGAGCGCCTACTGTGTACGGGCTGCTCCCGTGAGTGGTGGGCACACAGCAGAGGTACTGCTGGCCTCTGGGGCAGATTATTCTTTGCAGGGAGGGGTCCTGTGCTCTGCGGGGAGTTTAGGAGCAGCCCTGGCCTCTCGCAGTGGGGAGACACCCCTCCCACTTTGACACCCAAACCTGTCCCCCCAGAGGCAGGCCCGAGGTCCCCTGGAGGCCAGCATCGCCCACTGCCGGCCCCACTGGGCCCTGACTGTGAAGAAAAGACTTTCACCCCGTTCCCTTAGAAGCAAGCTTTCTTTAGAGGGAGACACACCACGTGTGCTGCAGGCAGGCTGGAGAGGAGGGCGCGGCAGGGTGGGGGTGCTGGTGGGGGTGCTGGGGGTGTGTGTGGGGGTGCTGGGGGTGTGTGGGGGGGTGCCGGGGGTGGGGGTGCTGGGGGGCCGGGGGTGGGGGTGCTGGGGGTGGGGTGCTGGGGGGCCGGGGGTGGGGGTGCCGGGGGTGGGGGTGCTGGGGGGCCGGGGGTGGGGGTGCTGGGGGTGGGGTGCTGGGGGGCGGGGTGGGGGTGCTGGGGGTGGGGTGCTGGGGGGCGGGGTGGGGGTGCTGGGGGTGGGGTGCTGGTGGGGAGGGTGAGGGGGCTGGAGAGGAGGGCGGGGCGGGGGGGTGTGCTCTTTGAGGTGGGGGTGGGGGTGCCATTTCCCAGAGGGGCTCAGAGAAGGTCCCCTGGTGAGGGGCCCTGGGGCTGAGGCTGGAAGCCCCGTAGGGCTTGGGCTCTGCGGACGGGGTGTGTTGTCCTTGGTCCCCTGCGCCCCCAGGAAGCCAGGGGGCAGGCTGCACCTTCCGGTCTCGCCCCGCCACCGGCTCCTGGTCCGGATTCGAGCATCTGTTCACATCTGTTCGCTGGGTTTGCATCTGTTCGCTGGGCGACAGCCCTGCCCTCTGGAGAGGTCAGAGCAAGGTCTCCAGAGGTCAAGGGGAGTCAAGCCTCCCTCTCCCTCCCCTTCCCGAGAGCTGGGGAGGGGCTCCCTTTCTGAGTCACAGCCCCCCAGGGCCGGGTTCTGGGCTCCTCAACCGATGCCAGCCGGGCTTCTCGGAGCAAGCGGCTGGAAGCTCCACCCCACCACGTAGCCCAGCGCGGGTGGGGCGGCACCCCCACCCCGGGCTCCACCCTGCGGCCCCCAAGACTGCTTAGAGAATCTCAGTTAACCACTTTGCAAGTGACTCACAGCAGAAATAGGTTCCTATTAATGCCTGGAAAAGTGGGTTTAAAACTTACCCGAGAGTTAAGACTCACCCGTCACCACAGGACGCAGCCAACCTCCCTGGGAGCACCGCGCTCACCCCTCACCACACCCCCACTGCGCATGGCGTGTCTCCCCAGTTCCGGATTGACTTCTCTGAACCGTTGTGTGCAGGGCTGCCGAGGGTGTGAGGCCCTCTCAGGAGGCGTGTGCCCCTTAAGAGGGCTGCGTCCTGGGGTTCCGTGGTCCCCGCGGCCCGTGGTTTGCAGGGATGACCTTGCTGGGCAGGCAGGCCCCAGCTCTCCTTGCTGGATTCTTTAATCTGTCTGTCTATCTGTCTATCACCTATCATCTATCAATCTATATCATCTATCTATCTATCAATCTATCATCTATCTATATATCTATCATCTATGTATCATCTATCACCTATCATCTATCGTCTATCACCTATCATCTGTGTATCATCTATCTGTAATCAGTCATCTATCGTCTATCAAATATCATCTATCAAATCAATCATCTATCAAATATCTATCATCTGTCTGTCATCTATGTATCATCTATCACCGATCAATCATCTGTCATCTATCACCTATCTATCATCTATTACCTATCATCTATTAATCTATCATTTGTGTCTCATTTATCTATCTATCCTCTATCACCTATCATCTGTTAATCTGTCTATCATCTATGTCTCATCTGTCTATCTACATCTATCATCCATCTCTCTGCCTGCACCAGGTCTTAGCTCTGGCACGAGGGACCGTCACCATGTCAGGCTGGCGCACAGACTCTCTAGTTGGGGCGCGAAGGCTTGGTTGCTCTGTGACACATGGGCTCTTGGCTCCCTGACCAGGAATCACACCCCCATCCCCTGCATTGCCAGGCAGACTCTTGACCGCTGGACCACCAGGGAAGTCCCGTCCCTGCTGGAATCTTTATTCACTGGAAGAAGAGGCCCGATGGGTGCCTGGGGCAGGAGGGCCGTGGGGAGCAGCCCTTGAGCCTTCCGGGTGGGGTGGGGCCGAAGCAGGAGCGCCCCGGCCTGGGGGTGGCCTGGAGCCCGGGGCTGAGCTCCAGTGTGGCCCAGGCAGGTTCCCACTCCTCCCCGGGTCCCCTTCTCCCTACAGCTCGGGGCAGGCGCGAGGGTTCCCTTTCCCATACATTTCGGGGCCCCTGCGGTGCTTCAGGGAAGATCCCAGCCCAGGCTTCGTGGAGCCCTGAGGGCCCCCGGCTCTGGAGCTCAGGTCTGAGCAGAAGGGGGTATGGAGGGAGGAGAGAGCGGAGGCCAGGAGAGGGTGCACCTCCCTCCGAGCCTGGAGGCGCCCAGGTCCTCTCCACCCCCCAGCCAGTGGTCTGCAGTAGGCACCCTTAAAACATGAAAATGATGGGGGGCAGGTGGTGGGCCTCCCAGGAGGCTCAGTGGTAAACAACCCGCCTGCAACGTGGGAGACGGGTTTGATCCCTGGGGCGGGAAGATCCCTGGAGAAGGAAATGGCAACCCACTCCAGTATTCTTGCTGGAGAACCCTATGGACAGAGGAGCCTGGCCGGCTACAGTCCATGGGGCCACAGAGAGTCTGACACGGCTAAGCAACTGGGCACACACGCACGGGGGAGGGGGTGTGCATGTGGCCTCGGGGGGGTGGGGTTGCACTTGGCCTCCAGTGCTCACGGCCCAGGAACCTTGACCAAACGACTTGCTCTCATATTTCCTCATTGGTAAAATGATGTGATAGTAACATCATTGCTGGCAGGGTTTGGGGGGTGAGTGGGTTTTTTTTTTTTTTGCAAACACATTTGACAGCTGAGAGGCCTGGGGGTTGGAGAGACTGTGCCTTCGCTCGCGGTTGCCCAGTTAACGAGCAGCAGATGGAGATCTGAATCCAGATTTCTCAGGGTAAAGCCTGGGAACTCCTCCTGCTCAGAGCAGCTCAGGCAGAAGCGGCAGTGGGGTAGGGGACCACGGCCCGTCCTGGGGCCCGAGTGGGACCTGCCGTCTGGTTTCACCAGGACCCAGATGGGCAATTGCGGAGGAGGTAGGCTCCAGCTGTCACAGCCTCCACCCTCAGGGCCCGCGGGCGTGTCACCGCAGACCACAGGCCCCGGGCGCCCCAAGGAGCTGGCCTGACCTTAAGAAGAGTGCGTCAGCTGCACGAGACTGTGGGGCCCACCCCGGGGCCGTGGGCAGGGGCCACGGGCCCGGGAGCAGGTTGGGTCCCATGTGTGTCAGGCGCATCGGGGGAGGCTGAGGCTGGGTGTCCCCAGAGGACAGTGGCACCACCTCTGTGGATCTGGTTCGGACCCGCTGATGGTTGAACTGTTAGTTCAGTGGCCCCAGCAGTCCTGGAGGCTTCCCTGGTGGCTCAGATGGTAAAGAATCCGCCTGCACTGGAGGAGACTCGGGTTTGATCCCTGAGTCGGTAAGATCCCCTGGAGAAGGGAATGACGACCCACTCAGTATTCTTGCCTGGAGAATTCCAAGGACAGAAGAGCCTGGCAGGATAGAGTCTATGGGGTCACAAAGAATCAGACAGGACTGAGAGACTAACACGCTTCCAGCAGCCTTGGGCAGTGGGCTTTATCGTCCCCATTTCACAGATGAGGACATAGAGGCCCGGAGGTGGGAAGTAACTCCCCTGAAACCACAAGGCTGACAGGTGGCCCAGCAAGGGCAGAACCCTGGTCCCCCTGGTGTTCAAGGGGGTGCCAGGCCCCTCGTGCCAGCACCTGGGCAGGAGTGGCAGTGAGCAGGGGGAAGAGGCTTGGGGCAGACATGTGGTTCAAGAGCTGCGTTTTGGAAGGTGGCCACTTCAGTCTTCAGGCCCCTTGTTGTTTGTTGTTTTTAATTTCTCGCTGTCGAAGTAGCTCCTGTTTCCGGAGGGACATCTGGGAAATGAGAGCCAGGGTTCGTTATCCAGAAGCAGACTCTGAGCTGGCAGGAGCAGGCCTCGTGTTGGCTCAGGGAAGCCGCGGCCGCCGGGTGTCGTCACGTGGATGGGGAGGGATCCCCCACATGGGGAGGGGTCCCCAGAGCCCACGCCCGGTTCCCAGCCCAGCAGCGAGGGGCAGCAGGCCCTCCCGCCCTTGGAGCCCAGCCTCCGCGAGCCTTTCTCTGCAGCGAAGCCCAGCCAGGCCCGAGGCCGCCGGCTCGGGTCAGGGGGCACAGGAAGGACTCTCGCCAGGACAGGAGCCGGCAGCCGGCTCGGCCTGAGCAGGGCCGGAGGTGGAGCTGCTCCCGGCAGGGCTTCCGGCAAAGACGCGGCAGTTGCCCCTGGGTACTTGTGTCTGCAGCTCACGGGAGGCCCAGCCGGGCAGGGGGGCAGGGCCGGGCCTGGGGAGAGAGCTGGGCTCTGGGAGGGCACCCACACTCGGGTCCTGAGAGGGCGGGCCAGGCCCCTGGGAAGTGCAGGCCGCTGGGTACTTCCCCCGTTCAGAGCAGGCAGCCCCCGCGATGGCAGCACAGGCAATCAGAACCGGCGCCGGGGACGCACCTCGTGCTGAGTCCGTTCTGCAGAGCAGACGGTGGGCTGGGCTGGTCCGTGCTGCTCAGGGGCCGTATCCCCAGCTTCTCGCCACCTCGTCCCCAGACTGGGCCGTGGGGCGCGAGCCTGACCGCTGTGTGACTTTGGGCAGGCCGTCTTCTTTGCGCCTCAGGTTCCTTAATTCTCACACGAAGGGGCAAGTGTTTCCCCATCGGGTGGTGCACCGATACAGGTAAGAGGCAGACAACAGACGCGGTGTAGACGCCGACCCGCCGCACACACAGCTCCAGACGCGGTGAGAATGCTACTGTGAACGCTCTCTGAGCTGTGTCCCTCGAGGTGGAATTGCTGGGTCCTCTGGGGATTCCAAGCTTCCCGAGTGGCTCCGTGGTAAAGAACCCGCCTGCCCCCGCAAGAGACATGAGAGACTCAGGATTGACCCCTGGGTGGGAAGATCCCTTGAGAAGGGCCTGGCAATCCGCCCCAGGATTTCTGCCTAGAGAATCCCGTGGACAGAGGAGCCTGGTGGGCTGCTGTCCTGGGGTCGCACAGAACAGGACACAATGTTTAACTTACTGAGGCATCACCAGACAGCTTTCCACCGTGGCTGCACCATTTTCCACTCCCACCGACAAAGTGCGAGGGTTCCAATTTCCCCACGTTTCCATCAAATCTTATTTTCCCCAAAACCCTTTGAACAATGGTGCCTGTATTTCAGTCACATGGGGCTCAGACCTTGAGGCCTCCGGCTGCTCAGTCACAGAGCCAGACCTTTTGCTCCGGACCTGCACTCCTGACCGCCCACCTCCACCCCGTTCACGGGAAGCCAGGCTCCCCAGGGCCTCCCTGTGTTTCTGGGTCCTGACTCTGCACCTGCATCCACTGCTCAGCATGGCTTGTCCTCCGAACAAGAGCCTGCTGACTGGTGCTGGCAGGCGTGGGCAGTGAGTGCTGGCTGCCGGAAGGCGCACCTCCCGGGGGTGATAGAGGCAGACACCCCCGCTCACCGCTGAGAAGCAGGTGACGTCTGGTGTAAATCTCACTTGGTCTCAAAATAGGTGGCTGCTCCCTGAGGTGCAAACCTCACTCACCTCTTTGTCCCAGAGGCCCGAGGCGCCCGGGCTAGCCTCACTCGCTCTGCAGAAGGAGCCTGGCCGGTCTGCGAGGCTGGTGGATGCCCAGCGCCATGTCCAGCATCAAGGCCAGTGCCAGCTGCCTCCTTCCGGGGCCCAGGGCGTGTCTGTGATAGACCTCAGGATGGCTGGGTGGGGTGTGGTCAGGAGCCCCCCACCTCTTTACTGGAGGAGATGTCTCCTGGAGAAGGTGGGCAGGGTGGCTTTGTGTGTGAAAATGTCTTTTTCTTTAACCTTCTGAATCAGGACAACCTAACCCCGCCCCCCACCACCTTGAACTCTGCCTCCACCCTGGACCAGGCCTTGCAGTGTCTGTGCGCGGGCTCAGTCGTGCCGGACGCTTTGTGACCCCACAGACTGTAACCCGCCAGGCTCCTCTGTCCAGGGGATTTCCCAGCAAGAGTGCTGGAGCGGGCTGCCATTTCCTTCTCCAGGGGATCTTCCCGACCCAGGCGTCGAGTCCTAGTCCCCCTCCTCGCAGGCACTGCGATGTGGCTGCCATGTGCCAGGAGCTGTTGCGGCCCCACCCATGCTGCGGTATTTCATCATGGTAGCATCTGCACCAAGAGGTATCACCTCACATACCTGGTGAAGGTATCAATCAGACCCAGCTGAGAAGGTGGATGGCCTGGGGGTCAGCGGAGACGTCCAGGTGGGAGCACAGTGTTGGCAAAACAGTGGCTGCCAAGCCCGGTGGGCGTCAGAGAGCCGAGCCCAGAGCTTGTCTTACAAGCAGCTCGAGGCCGGCCAGTTGCAGCTGGGCCCGCTGCATGGACCCCCCTGTGCTCCACAGGCGCTGTGACTGTCCCCTAGGCTGGGCTCTGCAAATTCAGACTAAAGTGTTACTGGCTGATGATGCTGTTTGTACCGCTTGGACTTCAGCTCATTTGAGCCTACAGTTGGCACCTTTGTGTGTGCAGGAGTGATGGGTCTGGGGGGCCCTGTTGGTGTTTTTCCGATTCTCTTCCTTCATCTGCCCAGCCAGCTGGTGACCTGTGTTCAGACCCCACTGAGCAGGCCCCATGGTCAGTGGAGAGGAGCCAGGACATCCGTGTCAGACACAGGGGCACCCGGGGCCTTTACTGAGGACCCATTTCAACCCGCGGGCAGCAGGCGACGGCGGGCCATTAAGGGAGCTCGCCTCATCCTCAGTTAGTGTCAAACCACAGCCGCGTCTCCCGCCGACGCTGCGGACGGATGGAGACAAAGCTCCGGGGGGTGCGGACTGCACAGAGACGGCTCTCGGCACTAATCTCTGCCCCCCGCCCCCCGGACTAGGCCGCGCGCCTCCCCCTGACAAATGTGCTGCTGTGGGAAGGCTGAGGACCACTCATGGTCCCGGGGCCGGCACCCGGGGAGGGGGCAGTGGGAAGCGTAGGCCCTCTGCCTCAGCGACGCCTGCCCCCCAGGCGGGGCCAACCCAGCCTGGCTTCGTCACGGTGCCCCCGACCGAGTCCTGGGAATCACACTGGGGGGCTCTGTGCTGGGGTCTGCCTGGGAAAAGCGTCCTGCCTCGTGAGGGGAACGGGGTGGACACAGAGGACTGTGCCCCAGAGGACGCACGTTCATGTCCTGCCTGCCCGCCTCCCTGGGCAGGGCCTCAGGCATCAGCCTGTTTGCTTACTGCAGAGTGGATCACACCTTCTGTAACAGCGTCTTCCTGGGCTCAATGGAAGGAACCTGTGAGGTCCGAAACCCACACAACAGCGAAACACCTTCAGTGTTGGGGGCGGGAGGGGTCGATGCGGTGGCTCAGTCGGTCAGCACACACGCCTGCCCGTGTGCCTTGCCCTGTCTGCCTGATGACCCGTGGTTCCCAGGCTCCCCCGCGTGTGTAACCATCCTGGGGTTTGATGGTCAGATCACTGGAAGGTCTAGCAATTACATGATTAAGAAAGGCAATGAGGGAGAGGAACTGCAGCCCCTTCGTCCTCCAAAGGACAGTTCTCAGGACAGCCCCCAGCCAGCTGGGCCAGGAGCTGAGCTCCGAGTCCTGCGTCAGCCAGGAGAGGCAGAGAACGAGGTGGTGGTCGGCCGGCCCCCAGCCCCACAAGCCATTCAGCCCCGAGAGCAAGCTGCTGGTGGTCTGCACACCTCCCCAGCCCTGACCCCTCCTGGTGTGTGCTGCCGGCTTCACCCTGCCCTGGGTCTCCCCCCTGCAGCCACAACCGTCTCCCTGGTCTTCAGCCTTGGACTGAAGTTGACCTCAGGAAGGTGCCCCTGGCATCCGCCCCCAGCCCCAGCCCGCAGTTGATGGCCTGCGGAGCTCCGTAGGACTTGAGCATCTGCATACAGAGGTCAGCTGTCCATTAAGCCATGGAACCGAGCACTCCACTTAGCCGTGTATATGGGACACAGTTAAATAATGAAAACAAAAATAGAACATTGCGGAAGCCTGGGGCAGGCTGGAATACGCCCTAGGAAGGAGCAGGGACCGCCATCTGGGGGGAGGGACCAGAGGGTTGTTGGGGGGTCACTGCCAGCCACTCTTTGTCAGGAAGCTGCCCCGGTTTAAAATATATTTTTCCTCTCTATATAGGTCATCTTTTGTTAATTTTTAAATGAAAGTTTATACACACACATATACACATCCCAACTGGAAAAATAATTTGTGCTTGTTACAGCACATCGGGAAATTCAGAGAAGCTGAAAGAGTCGTCCTTCCTCCCCCTGACTTCATAATGCTGAGCAGTGGTGTTAGAGCTCTTTGAAAGCCCCCAACCCCCCCACCCAGGAGAGAGAGGGGTGAAAAGCAGGTACCAAATTAGAGACTTCCCCTTTTGTCAACAGAGTGAGCTCAGCTCACACACCCAATGACCAGCACTCAGGAAGATTTTTAAATATACAGTTGATTCAGAAAAAGAAGTCTTGAAGGAACTCAATGCAGAGTCTGGAGCATGTGAACCTATACCAAGGAGGACTGCGGATGTTGGACCCAGATGCCGTCTCCCTGGTGGCACAGACAGTAAAGAGTCTCCCTGCAGCGCGGGAGGCATGAGTCCAATGCCTGGGTCGGGAAGATCCCCTGGAGGAGAGCATGGCAACCCACTCCAGTATTCTGGTCTGGAGAATCCCATGGACAGAGGAGCCTGGCGGGCTACAGTCCATGGGGTCACAGAGAGTTGGGCATAACTGAGCGACTAACACTTTCACAGGCATTGTATTATGGTCACCATTTATATTATATTGTGGTCACTGTTTCCTGTCTTTACCGAATGAGGCTGAGAAAGCTTTCACAGGAGCTATGATGTTTCAGATTCTTCTTTCTACCCTCTTAATGGGCAGTGTGGCTTTGGGCAGGAATGGGGGCCTGAATCTGCCCATAACTGGTCATTTGTCCAGCTGTGTGTCCACTTCTTAGGGCTGTAGACGGCATCACTATGGTCAGCCATCAGGGGGCGGGTCAGCCACCCCCACCCCCCACAGCCTGGTACCTCAGCATCGGGAAGACCACTAATCTAAAAACGAAAAACACGGCGCCTTTTATTCCACAAAACCAGCGAACAGAAACAGTAAAGTAGAAAGACAAACTCGTCCATCATCCTACAGTCAAAGCAACCACGACAAATATTTTGTATTCATGGAGTCACATGTTAACAGATTTCTTTTTTTTTACAAAGCAGCAAACTTCTGGTGTTTTGTGTCCCACTTTTTTTTTCATTTAACATCCCCATCAACGACTACATAATGGTAGATTGAGTGGATAAACGATAGCTCATGTAACCCTTCCCTTTCAGAAAAGCGTTTGGGTGGTTTTTAGCATTTTGCTATCACAGACAACATCTTTGTGTATTTTTGTCCTTATGTTTTTATCTGTTTCCTTAGTGGCAATTCCCAGAAGTAGGCTTGCTGGGATGGAGAGAAACGAAATGCTTAACACTCATTGCGTGTTTGCTAAGTCGCTTTCCAAAAGGGTAAACCACTTAGTACTCTCACCAGCAGAGCATGAGAAACACGGTTTCAGATGTGAGATTGTGCTTTTCTAATTAAAGTTTCCTTTTCAGGTAAACTGTAAATTCACATGCAGTTGTGAGAAATCACGGGATTTCTTACAGAGACAACCCATGTGCCCAGTGGTGTGAACCAAGTTCAGTCATTCAGTCGTGTCTGACTCTTGTGACCCCATAGACTGCAGCCCACAAGTCTCCTCTCTCCATGGGGCTTCCCCTGCAAGAATACTGGAGTAGGTTGCCATTTCCCTCTCCAGGGGATCTTCCCTGCCCAGCCCAGACATCGAACCCTCATCTCCTGCAGCACCTACTGCATTGCAGGTGGGTTCTTGACTGCTGAGTCCAACCCCAGAAGTACCACGTCACACAGGGTTAGAGATACCATGTCACACAGGGACAGAGGAGCCACGTCACGCAGGGACAGAGGAGCCACGTCACGCGGGGACAGAGGAGCCACGTCACGCGGGGACAGAGGAGCCACGTCACGTGGGGGACAGAGGTGCCACGTCACGTGGGGGACAGAGGTGCCACGTCACGTGGGGGACAGAGGAGCCACGTCACGCGGGGGACAGAGGTGCCACGTCACAGGGACAGAGGAGCCACATCATGCAGGGACAGAGGAGCCACGTCACATGGGGACAGAGGTACCACGTCACGTGGGGACAGAGGTACCATGTCACGGGGACAGTGGTACCACGTCATGTGGGGGACAGTGGTACCACGTCATGTGGGGGACAGAGGTACCACGTCACGGGGACAGAGGTACCACGTCACAGGGACAGAGGTACCACATCACACGGGGACAGAGGTACCACATCACACGGGGACAGAGGTACCACGTCACGGGGACAGTACAGCCAGCGCACTGACAGCAAGGCAGTCAGTCCAGGACATTCTGCACCACAAGGTTGCTGCCTGTTGCTCTCTTATGACCAAATTGACCTCTCCAGTCCAGGCCCAACACCCACCAATCTATTCTCCATTTCTTTATTTTTGTCATTTCAAGAATGTTATATACTTGGAATCATGAAGTGAAGTTTAAGGAAAATTATTATCAAGAAACAGATGTAACAAAGTTACAAGTAGAAGAAGTATAGAGAATACATTTTGAATTAGGTAGCCTGTAGATTAGCACTGTCCAATAGAAATATGTGAACCACAGAATGTAATTTAAAATTCTCTAAAGCCACACTAAAAAAGTATAAAGACATAGGTAAAATTCATATATTTTTAGGCCAATATACCATTTCACCATATAACCCGTGTTTTATGAATCGTTAGTGGGGTATTTTACTTTCTTTGCTCAGGAGAAGTCTTAGGAGGCCAGTGTGTATTTGTACGGACAGCTCGTCTCCGCTTGGACCAGGCGCACACGCCCCAAGCGCTCGGGAGCCACGTGCGGCTGGCGGCTGCTGTGCTGGGCGGCTCAGCGTGGGTCCACCCTGAGTGTGGAGCCTGTGCATCTCCAGGGCCAGAGGGCCCCCGCGTCAGCGAGTGGCTCTCAACCTTGCTTACACGTTAGAATCACCCGGGATTCTTGGAAAATACTGGCGCCTCATCCCCTCCCACTCTGTCACCCCTACAGAGGGTTGGCGCTCGTTGGTCTTGGAAGTGAACCGGTGTTACTGGGATTCGTTTTGAACTCCCAGGTGGCACTGAGGAGCAGCAGGGAGGGGCCCGCTGGCAGGAAGTGTCCTCTGGGGTCCTGGGGGGGCCCTGGCGACACACGCAGGTTCCCGCCTGCCCTGACCTCCTGGAGGGCCTCTTGGGAGGTCTCTATGCTTCCGGCCCTGCAAAGCCCAGCCTCATCTCTGCCTTGTCCAGTTTTCAAGTGCGATGCCCATGACCTCCTGTCCCCAGGGCTCCGGGCCTGGGTCAGCGCCTCCATGGCCAGTCCTGTGTCCTTCCTGGTCAAGAAAAGAAAATGCACGTCTGCTGAGAGCCTGTGAGCTCCTGCGTCCTGGAGCCCTCACAGGCCCTCCTTCTGGCATCACTGATGGGGCTCTGGACTGGGCAGGGATGGGAGCAGGGGCCAGACCACCCAGCCCGGGCCCCCGGGCACCCAGGGTAATTGAATGAGGCTCCCGGGCCGAGGGTCAGCCCCTCTCCCAGGCTCTTCTCTGCCCCGTGCCCTGGGCCCATGAGGTGGGGCCCTGGCAGGGAACACACAGAACAACACCCCGCCTTGTCACCAACCTCTCCTGGGGGCCCAGTGGATGGCGAGATCCCTCATCCTTCTCCGCAGGCCCTCGCTTCCGTCATCCAGTCTGGAAATCCTGTCTCTTTAAAAACGCAGTCAGCACCCTAACTCCCTGCCTTGAGAGTCACGAGGTGTGTGCTGGAGCCCAGACCTGTGGGGTCAGTGCTGGACCCTCCGGGGACCCTGGGCCGCCTCCCAGGCCCTCTGGAGCCAGTGGACCATGGTCCCGGCTCGCGAGCCGCCTCAGGCCCCGACTCCCTGGAAGGGGTGCTCAGGTCCAGGCCGCTGGGGCCTCGGGGTATCCCCAGCAGTGTCTCACCTCAAGTCATGGGGCGGAGGGGAGGCAGAAAGCCTCATGCTGAGACAGGCTGCTCAGAGAAGCAGAGACTCGTGCTTTTCCCTCCTTACCGGCTCTCATGACACTCACCCTCGAGGGGCCAGCTCTTCCGTCCGCACTAATGCGGAGGTAGGGTGGGGCTAGAAGGCCGGGCTCCCGGGGTTCCGCCTGGACCCGCAGTGACCCCGCGCCTGGGACTGAAGGCCGCCAGATGGGGCGCCTGGGAGGAGGGCAGGGATGCAGGGGGAGGAGGCAGGGGACACTTGGACTGTTAGCATCCGAGTCAGTGGTGGCAGAACGTGCTGGAAGCAGGGAGGCCGCGCTGGGGGGAGGTGTTTACAGGAGCGCATCCTGGCACCTCCAGCCTGGCCAGGCCACGTGACCGTCCCGCAAGGTCCCCTCTGCAGGGCTGCTCTGTGGAGTGGTGAGCCTGCTGCAGGGTTCCGAGCTGGCCACAAAGTGCCGTCCAGGCAATTTCTCCAAATCCAGGCTGCTTTCCTCCCCACGCTCCACTCCCCCTCCTTCCATCCTCCTTCCAGAAGGGAGACTCAGCAGAAAAAGCAGCATCTTTGTGAACGCTGGTTCTAAGCAGGGAGGGGCTGAGTGTGACCAGGACTAACTGGCACGTCCAGCGGGAACTCAGCCGACTCCTCCCCTCCCCCCTCCCCCCTCCCCCCTCCTCCCCTCCTCCTCCTCCCCCCTCCTCCCCCAAGACCACAATCCCATAAGGAAAATACCTGGTTCGGCCGTCTACCTGAGGGAGGCAAAGGCCAGGGAGAAAAGGCCTGAAATCCTTAGCCCTCTTATCTTAGGCAAGAGGCTGATGATGTTGAGGGAAAACAGGCCACACTTCCACTGACAGTCCGGAGTCTGCTCCTATTGGGACAGAGTGTTGGTGATGAGCTCGGCACTGAGGGAACCTCCCCCTGCCTCCGCAGCTCTGAGAACCAGCCAAGGCAGTGAGGAGGACAGGCCAGACCGCAGGCTCGGGCCCCGGCTCCCTCACTTGCTGGCTGGGTAAACACGAGCAGCGGGCCGACCCCCACCACCTCACCTCTCACGTGGGGACAGTGGCCGTGGTTGGGATGAGCGTGCTCCAGGCTGGAGTCCCTGTTTGCACCTGCCGACCTGTGTGCCTCACTGAATCCTCATGAACTTGTGAAAAAGTCAGTAGCGTTAAACATCCTCCTATTAATAACAGTGCCTAGTGCAAGGGTTGCTGTGAACGGTGTGTAAACCGCTATGAACAGTGCCTGGCGCAGACTCCTGGTCCGGTAGACATCGGCCCGTGGGAACCCGGGCAGCAGGGCGTCCGTCAGCGATGGGGGCTGAGAGCAGAGAGACCCCGGGTCAGCACTCCCTGCAAGCTTCCTCAGCCTGGGTCGGATGGATGGCCAGTGTCACCAAAATCAGATTAAGGAGGCACCTTTCCCTTGTGTACATGTTTTAAGACACAGGGAGCAAGACTGTCTTTCATTTCTCGCTGGCTTTTACCGCACACGCTAGCTGTGTGCGGGGGTGGAGGCCCCCCGGGCGGGCTTCTAACTGCCGACAATGAAGACCTTGTGCGCTGAGTCCCGCAGGCTGCAGCCCCGTGCCCACTCTGTAAGGAGGATCCCGAGGAAGAAGGAAGTGGGCGCCCCCGCCCCCCGCCTTTTCTAAAGGGGACTTTGGTTTCTACAAGTGCTGCAAGATAAACGTCTGCTTCCCTTGGGGTGGAAGTCGTGGGTGGGGCCAGTCGTCCTGGGACTAGCCTGAGGGCTGGGCTGGTGTGTGCCGCCTGCTCCGTGCCAGGCGGCCTGGGGGTGACTTGGGGCGGAGGGGAGGTGTGCCTCTGGTTTGTGGCTGATGCCAGTGCTGGGAATGTGGAGCCCTGGCTTGATCCCTGTTCCGGCAAGATTCCCGGCCATGGGGCACCTGCACTGGACCCAGGAGGCACACAGCGGGCCTGCCAGGCTCAGGAGAGGAGCTGTGAGGAGCCCCAGCTCCCAGTGGAGGGTGAGGGGCCTCCACTGTGGTCCCCCCTTAGAATGAGGGGATCAGCACCTTGGAAAGCAGGTCACAGGAGCCCTGGGGGTTGCCCTCTGACCACCAGCACGTCCCGTGGGAGCTGCCCAGGCTGGTGCCGAGTCCTGGACCAGTGAACAGGAGTAGCTGCGGCCGGTGGCTGGAAGCCCTGCTGAGAACCAAGGTCCCCAGGCCTTCATCAAGCCAAGGTCCCGGGCTTTCTCTCAGGGCTGTGGGCTGCAGAGATCAGGCGCCTGCACTGGCCTGGCCGTCCGTGTTCCTCCTCCTCCTCCCAGTTACACCCGTCCCTCCTCCCCAGCTGTCCTCTAACCAAGGCTCACCTGTCTCCCAGCACCTCCGCGCTTCATCTCACGTCCTTTTATTATCGGCCTGGGCAGGAAAATGTGCCATTAGTGATTCCATCTCCACAAGACATTGCTCCCTAATTGCTCCTCGTGAATGATAATTAGCAGCTATTAATTCCTGATAATTAAGCTGATACTTCCAGGTAATGGCAGCTGGGTAATCATCTCAAAGCTGCTGTGCTTTCTAGGCTCCACACTCTGAAGGATGACACTGCATCTCAGCTTCTCTCGCCCGGGAGTTCAAGGGCTCTTGCCTTTTCTTTACGTGGGCAGTGACTGGAGAATTGATGAGTCTGGCCTTTATTTAGCTTTCTTCTCTGGATGTAGAAATAATACACGTTCTTTTCAAAAAGTAGAGAGAAAATCAAATATACGTAAGCTATGACCTGGAAACATTCACTATCAACATTTTGGTTTATTTCTTCCCAGTCTACGACTTTTTTTTCACAGTTAAGTTCACATTAAACACATGCTTTCACATCCAGCTTTTTTCTTGTAGTATTACAATATAAACATCTTTCCTTGTGATGCATGTATGCATGTTCAGTTGTGTCCAACTCTTTGCGACCCCATGGACTGTAGCCTGCTAGGCATCTCTGTCCATAGGATTCTCCAGACAAGAATACTGGAGTGGGTTGCCATTTCCTCCTCCAGGGGATCTTCCTGACCCAGGGAGCCTGCATTGCAGGTGGATTCTTTACCACTGAACCACTGGTGGAGGTAGCTCACCTATAGAATGAGGGTGGTGATCTGGTTGTGAAGATTAAAATTAATTGCTTGGCAGACCGATTCAACATACTTCAACATACTTCAGCGTGTGTTGTCGTCCTTTCCTCCCTGTCCCGGGAGGGGCCCAGGCTGGGCGTGGCGCCAGGGCTCCCGCGCTCCTTCAAGGCCCTGCGGCTCATGGGGCTGGTATTCCCACCTGTTCCTCTCTCCTGCGCTTACTGCACTCACCATCCTCAGGGTTCTAATTCCGGCCCCTCTGGCGGATAGTGGGATTTTGTGAGCCTCAAATGTAAGCGAAAATACTTCATAAATGGCTATCAGAGTTCTCGGGAGCGTAACCCACTTGGGGACATCCGGCCGGTCCGGGCAGCCGTGCCCCAAGGGGCCCTGCCTGCGC